CCATGATCCATCACATAACCAGCTCTGTACATTTTCCCTGCCATAGTAAACTTGATCGGTAGCTCATCTAGTACAGCATTACACGTGGCGGAGCGCTCGAGTACGAGTCCCGTGAAACACGAGTCATGACTTGAGCTCAAAGACTTGTAGATGCAAACTAAAATGGCACGGTTAATGCGTTTTTATCTCACATTTGCTTTTGTTAACACTATCAGTCAGTTTTAGTTTAGGCTAGGGTTTACAGTAGTGTAGGTATGTTATTTTCAAATGTGATAGAGCATTAACCTAGCGCCACACGGACATTTCATATCTGAACTGCCACACAAACAACAACCAACGTAATAAAATGTTAATGGGTGCTTCTCAAACGGAAGGCTGTATCCTAGTGAGGCTTTGTCCTTACTAGTCCAGTCCTTATAGGCTTGTTGTCCTCCTCAGATAAAATGCTAGAATGAGACCGTCTAGTAGTTAATACAATGTATCCTTTTTTTCTTGATTTACCCCGGAATAATGAAAGTGAAATGTGACAACATGCCCCATTGGTGGGGTACATTGTAACATGTGAGGGGCACATTGTAACATGACCATATGACAGCTTAAAATGTTATATGATCTAATCAAAAAATATATATATACAAAAAAATGCCATTTTTTAATAATTAAACAACATTTTTGAGTTTGACAACGAACACACTGGAAAACACAGCTGTACAGCATAGTTCTGACCATGGACTCTCAGTCTTTATTCAACTTTTTTCTCATGGTTTCTCAGTAGAATTCATAGAAGTATAGAACAGAATTGCATAGTTCTAATAGGGGCAAATTGTAACGCAGTGTTACAACATTCCCCACCTGCACAACTGGGATTTAATCCCTGCTAGTGAAGCCACCGTTTTCCACTTTTGATGTCATATCTAGCGAGAAATTACCATTGTAGTAATTAAAGTTTTTAATGTTGTTTATATGTCAATGTGGTGTTTTTAATATGCGTTAAGACAAGCCATGTGCAAATTCATGTCAACACCATTGGTGAGTATTTTGTCCTTAAATCTGCAGTGAGAAAAGACGGTGGTTTTAAGGAGAATGCAGTTTAAAATCGCTAGTGTTTCTGACGTCACAAACTACCTAGGAACCAATCACGTCAATGTGCAGGACGGGCTTTAGCATATCATTAACAGCAAACTATCAGGGGAGTCTCAGGTTATCCTGGTATATTTTTCTGTTGATATGAAAAATCAGGTACATTTAGCAAAATACAGTAGCGTGGAAATTATGTGATGTTAAGAAGAGCTTTTCTCCACTGATGTTCTGAGTTGTTCAAAGCGTTTCTAAGGATGCTGATTTTTAGAAGGCAGCTGTCTGACTCTGAGATGCGAACGGGAACGTGGTTTGTGTAACATTAGCAACACATTATTAGCTGTTTGATGTAGTCAAGCCAAAGGCTAATCATATTAATTACCGTTATGTGTCCGACGTTGTAAAGAGCGATAGCTACATAAAACGCATTACCATTCTGGTACATCGACTTGTAGATGAGCCTGTATGAGTGAGCGGAGGCGGGGCTTATTTGTATCTTCATGGATCCACGTATGAAATAAAGCAAGGGTGTAGTTACATCCAAGCTATTTTGAGGCTTGAATTTAAAAAAAATTAAAGGAAAAAACTTTTAAATATGTCATCTTGGTGATCAAAGATGAGTTTTAAGGGATAAAATTATTAACTACATGGGGACTTTAAATATTTGCTTAGTTATCACCAAAGCTTGCTCTATTTTGCTGTAGATCATTAAACCGTTATGCTGCCTCAGAAGTCTGCCCGAAATAGATTTCATGAGGTACCTTCGTGCACAAACTGAGCCTGCAGCGTCATTCAGTCCTTCAGACTGACGGCAGAGGGTCTGGACTCCATCGCAGCTTTCATTGGTCAAGGACCGCCCAAGAGGACATCTGACTGACATGTTAAGCAACCAATTACAGTTTGTTTTGTTCCACGTCATGTTTAGGGGCATGCAAATGTTGAAGTCCATACTATAACAGACAGGCATACATCTAATAAATTATTAATTCAACTGAGTTCTTCTTCAATTAGGGCAGTGGTTGGGCACAAAGTTTGTAAATCTTCTTCCGTAAAATCCTGTAGAATTCAACCAATCTGATGCCAACTCCTGAAGTGTTTCCCTAATGTGTGCCTATACATCAGACATTCAGCCAACAGTCCATGAGTGTGACATCTGAGGCTGAGACTACACTTGATGCATCCTTCAAAATGGCGACCTTCCAAGGATGCTTCCTATTGAGACAGCATTCAGTGGCGCTTGATGACGTGGCAGCCAAGATATGCAGCCTTACTATGACGCAGCCTTCTGTTTGAGAAGCACCCTATGGCCCTCACGATCTTCCTCTGAGTCCACACTTTCGTGAAGTAACGCCACTTTGACTGTGAGTAGAAGTCTGACTCTGGCCGCAGAGCTTGCACGCTTGTGGGCTTGGCAAAAGTGCGCATCGAGGGGGCATATCGGCCGGGAACACCCTTCTGAAACCTAAAATGACAAATGGGACACCCGCAAGTGCATATGAAGTGTGTCATTTGGGACAAGGCCTAAGTTTATCTGTTTTGGATAAAACTGAACATGCTTTTAGCGCCATGCAATAGACATTTCGCTTTGAAAGTGCAAGAAGCAACGCAAAATCATTTAGCAAAAATGTCGCAACAGTCTTGTTTTTCCAATGAGCCTGGGTTGATATTAACAACAAAGGAGGCTTATGGTGCACCACATTTAAAGTATTTGTGTATTTACAATAAAGATTACAGAGAGAGAGAGAGAGAGAGAGAGAGAGAGAGAGAGAGAGAGAGAGAGAGAGAGAGGAGGGAGAAATGCATGAGTCATTTGACAAGAACGCATGAGAATGAATTTTAATCAAGTCACGTGTTGAGCGTTCATCAGAGCCACACCCAGGTTGTGATATCTGGGACTCGTTGGGCTCATTGGAAAAACAGCTATTGATTTTGGCCCATTTGTCTTCATGGCAAACCTTTGGTTTTCTTCGAAAACTGACACTACTGAAGAACTGTTAGACCACTAGGAGGCGCCATATATCTGCGTCTCATATTGACGCTAAAGGGTGCCATGTGCGTTGGATATAGACGCTTTGGCAAAAGCGTCAGTATATGACGCCTTGGGATGAGAACGGGCTGGTCTGTTCTACTCTACAACTTAAAAAAAAAATCTTCTTTTGTTAGGTTAACTTATTTTATGTATTAGAAGAATTCAATCACATTGGCGAGCCACCCAAACAACTGCTCGGCGATTATGAACCTTTAAATAAGATGAATACTATTCGTCCTGGTTAACCCACATTACAAAATTCTGACGTTGTGTACAATGCATGTTTACATGTGATCAGTCAACTAGCTAAACGGACATGTAATAGAGATTGTAAAGGTCAGTGTTTTTGCCTGCTGTGCTACAACTTTGTAGGGGTCCAATGTGAGATTATTAGCTCTGATCTGTTCTGACAGGAACTAAAAGGTTCTCCTTATCCTGGTGTCTCTGCACTGTACAACAACCAGTCACAGCCTGAGAATACACACAAATACATACATATTCGTAGACATGTGTACTTTCTCTTTCGCCTTTCTTTTGGAACACAAATGAAGATCTTTTTAATGAAATCTGAGAGCTTTCTTGTCCCTCCATTGACAGCTACACAACTACCACTTTCAAGCTCCAGAAAGGTACAGTAGTAAAGACATCATAAAAGTGATCCATATGACTTCAGTGGTTTAACCTCAATTTTATGAAACGACACGAGTGCTTTGTTTGCGCAAAAAAAGCATAATTTACCACTTTATTAACAAAATATTAAACTCCAACATAAAACAGGTTAAACCACTGGAGTCACATGGATTACTTTAATGATCTCTTGACTACCTTTCTGGGGCTTGAAAGTGGTAGTTGCGTAGGCTGTCAATGGAGGGACAGAAAGCTTTTTAGATTTCATTAAGAAGATCTTTATTGGTGTTCCGAAGATAAACGAATGTCTTACAGGTTTGGAATGAAATGAGGGTGAGTAATTAATGACAGAATTTTTATTTTTGGGTGAACTAACACTTAATTAAAACTAAATCCATAATGCTAAATGATAATGAAAAATTATACCATACAAAGAGTCCTTTAAGGTTATATATAGAACCTTTTCTAAGTGTGGTAAACAATTAAATATGTCTTTGTTCTATACAGCATTAGTATGAAACACTCATTTTCATCAAAAAATAAAGGGCGGCATGGAAAGAACACCACAAACAGTGTAATCATCATGGGAAAACAGAGTAAAACTGGGAGTTGTGAAAAATATAATACACCAGTGTTTTGCATGATGAGAAAGTTGTATGGGAACAAGTGTATGCGAGCAGCTGTGAAAAATATGATACACCGGTGTTTTGTCAGATGAGAAGTTTATCTATGTATCATATTTTTTACTCTTTTAGTTCCTTTTATAACTGTTTTACTGTTTCCTTGCTTTTATTTTGTGATTATTATTATTCCTTTCTTTGTAAAGCACTTTGAATTACCATAGTGTATGAAATGTGCCATATAAATAAACTTGCCTTGCCCGTTTAGAACCTTTTCTTCTAAGTGTGTTAAACTATTAAATATGTCTTTGTATTATACAGCATTAGTATGAAACCCTCATTTTCATCAAAAAATAAAGGGTCACCACTTATTTATTTATCTTATTATCTGATGCAACATAGTTTATGGCATTTTTGTTGATGGCATGTTACATTTTGATTGTGAAGATATTGGATCTTGCAAGTGTGTTATATTTACTGTAGTGTACATGCATTTATGGTCCACTCCAAGGTTTGAAGGGTTTTTACTTGTGTTCTTGAGTACACGTCATTCCCCATAACTTAGGAAGAGTTTCAAAGATTAGACGAAATTGTATTGTTTACAAAAATTTATTCATACAAATCTTACAACACAGTTTTTTTGTTTGTTTTGTTTTGTTTCTTACATATATAATGGTGACCTTGTGTGGCTCCCATGTGTTATATTGTACTAATGATCAACACAAGACAGAGATTTATCTTAACATTTAAGTAAGGCTTTGGGCACTATCAGTCTCTGCACACCAAATGCGTTTCAAGGTTGAGAATGTTTAATGAATGCTGTACAGATAGCTACAAGACACTATGCATAAAGAAAAAAAACAAAACAACGGAAAGGCAGGGCCAGGTGGCATTTTAACAAATGAAGTTATGTGAGAAATAGGAGGTGTGTGAGCAGGTGATTGCAGCATTTGGAGGGCCACTAATATGCCATCTGAAATTGGTGGCCATTATAAAGATGAAGCAAAGGCACCCAAGCCGCTTAGCTGTCTCCTGTGTCACAAAGCCTGCAGGAGAATGCAGAATTAAACACAGATTGGTTTCACATGTTTGCACATACTAACATGCATATGCAAACAAACATGTACATATCACTCTCAAGCTTAAGCATATTTTACGTTGTCAAAAACTTGCAGATTCAGAGTAAATTATGCAAGTTGGTTTTTCCTCAAAACGTTGCACCATTCATTTGACCTTTGGGAAAATTCTTTGTCCTGCATGCAAAGAGGGATCATTACAGGATACCTCTATATGTCATACCCAACAAGCTACAGCTGTGAAATTACTGATAGTTATAACCACATAAAACAGAAAATGGTAACTCTGAACTTCAAGATGCAGAGACACATATCTCCAGTGATTAACAGCTTTATGGACAGATAACAGGCATTTGACACTGATATGAGAAGAGTGCAATATGAGAAAGATAGAAAACAGAACAAAGAAAAGAGTGAAATTCTATGAAATATTGAAATACCATATATACATTACCTTTCAAAAGTTTGGGGTCAGTAGGTTTTAAAAAAAAAAGAATACTTTTATACAGCAAGGTCGCATTAAATTGATCAAAAGTGATAGTAAAGACATTTAATGTTTCTATTTAAAATAAATGCTATCAAAGAATCCTGGAAAAAAGGTTCCCTCAAAAATACGAAGCAGCACAACTGGTTTCAACATTGATAATAATAATAAATGTTTCTTGAGCAGCAAATCATCATATTAGAATGATTTCTGATGTGACACATGAAAACTGGTGTAATGATGCTGAAAATTCAGCTTTGATCACAGGAAAAAATGATATTTTAAAATATATTCAAATAGAAAACAGTTATAATAATTTGTAATAATATTTCACGATATTACTGTTTATTTTCTGTATTTTTAATCACATAAATGCAGCCTTTGTGAGCATAGAAGACTTCTTTCAAAAATATGAACAAATCTTACCGACCCCAGACTTTGGAAGGTAGTGAAGGTCTGAAACACTGGAATCAATTCTAATGCACATGACACACACATTCATAGACAGGGACTTCAAGTCCTTTTGTGAGATTTCAAAAGGAAACAAACGCATGCTCAGTGAAAAGCAGGAAGGACTGGACAGTGTTTAAAAAAGAGTGTTTGAAGATGCAGATTTAATTGAAGTTTATAAGCACAGGAAAGAGCTCATGTTTTTCAGATACATATATAGAAGTTAAGGTATTAATGATATTTGAAAGGTGTGTGCAGAAACCGTGTTGAAAGGCTTGTGAGATTTTTAGCCACAGATGACAGTGGGAAGAACTTGACGTGAGTAAAAGAGCGTGGAAGGGACGAGAGGCATTCCTCACCGAGCCGTAGAAACTCACCAGGAATTCAGGAGGAAACTGTCTCAGCAAATCCAACAAAATTGCTTCAATCTCATCCCCATCCGTGAGCACACCAAAGTCTATGTCTTGTAGAAAATCTAAGTCGTCAGGGCTGTTGTAAATAAAAAAACTTCTTTCTTAATTTCAGGAGTGAAAGAAGGAAGGTGTCATTCAATGTAATGATTGTCTTTGAGACTATTTATTTACTCATATTCAGACTGATGTATTTGATAGACAAAGTATCGAAGCAAGCATGAATTAATAATAAATAAATAAAAATTTTATTTTGTTCAAACTAAACGACTAAACGTCCACAAGGCATATCGTTGCATTATCAGGTGCTTAAGTACAAAAGAAAAACAATATTATTATCAAAATATTCGTTTTAATGTCTTTACTTCATACATAAATACATGTTTATAAAGGACACAGGTGCGATCAAACGATCATCATAGTAGTCTTAGTGATGACTAACTTGCTACAAGAGCTGTACATGTACATGATAGTTAGAGACGAATTTGAAAAAGGCTACAAATAGGCGAGCCGCCGTCCTTTGCTTCTATATCTCTGTCTATACCTTTTGCCCAGGACCGTGGCCAGATACTTCTTTACGGCCATTTGCTTCCGGTAGCGACTGTAGCTGTCCGTGAAAACCCCGTCCGAGTGACGCTTTGAGAGCGGCTCATTGTCGTCATCTATTGTGGTCCTTCCTCTGTATTAGAGAAAAAGAACAAAGCGTTCTAGAACCCAGGATATTACAGAAACACTTGACACTAACTTAGTGAAAAAAAGTCAAAGTCACATTTGTTTGGATTTAAAGGGATGGTTCACCCAAAACTTAAAATTATGTCATCATTTACTCACCCTTATGTTGTTTCAAACCTGTATGAACTTCTTCTGCTGAACACAAAATAATATATTTTGAAGAGTGACGTAAACAGTTTGACTCCCATAGTAATTTTACTAAATGGCGCCCCCACAATGGTTAAGTTACAAACATTCTTCAAAATATCTTCTTTTGTGTTCAGCAGGAGAAAGAAATTCATACAGGGTTGGAACAACTTGAGGGTGAGTAAATGATGACACAATTTTCATTCTTGGGTGAACTATCCCTTTAAGTGTGCAAATATTCATTTAAAAAAGTAAATATTAAACAATCATAATCTATTTGTCGCAAAAACTTTGTTACATTTAGTAAATAAGTTGTATTGTATATAGGCCTATATGCTTTTGTAGGCTATATAAAAACGTTTTATAATATATATAAATTAGAATAAGTTTTGTAAAAAAAAAGTTACAATGGGCTGTTCACACAGGGTTCGTTATACACAAAATATGTTCTAAGAACTTATTTTTCTATGGAATCATTTAAGGAAACATTCCATTTTATCCTTCTACAAACATTTTGGGACCGTAAGTTTGAATGTTCTCTGAACATTCTAAAACAATTAGTTACATTTAAAAAAATGTTACACGAACATCCAACTAAAATGTTTCATGGGAAAAAAAGTTGTATAAACAGTGTATAAGTTTAGTTCTAATGTTTTGAGAACATAAGTACAGAAAACTTTGATGAAACGTTCCATTAACGTTATAACTAAGAGAACCTTTTCCATAACATTAGTTTCACTTTTAAAAACGCGTCACGAGAGTGCAGTCCGTTGCGTTTCATCGAGCGGATTTTAATGTAAGAACGAACGGAACGCGTCATTTGTGAACGCCCTCTAATTCTTCCACAGATCTAATGAATGTTGATAACTGGATAAAAGGTAATAACTATAAATTATGCATAGCAACCAACCCTAAACCAAATTAGTGATATTTATTTTTAGAGAGAGCAGGAACTGTTCTTACCCCACGCGTTTTTCCATCAGTGTATGCAGGTATTTCCGCGCTGATAACTGACCAAGCGCTTTCCTGTAGGCTTTATTAAACATCCCGTCAGCATGCCTTTCCAATCTGCGTGACAAAATACCAGATTGTACAACGACGTTTCAGTGAAGGTTTAAAAATAGGTCAGCCTTATAGCTGCGATATTCCCAAATTATAGCACTCGTGTAGCCTACATCCTCAGGCCGGTCGTTGAGAAACACCTTCTGGACTATCAGGCTATTCTATTTCGCAATTCAACTCGACACAACTCAAACAAGCAAAAGCCTCGAATGTCTTTGTAACTTGAACAATCACAGTAGTAAACAAACATAACTACGCAATAGAGTAGGCCTATCCCATTTTGGGAATGCCTAGGCTAGAACAATAGGAGTCCGGGTTAAGGAGAAGTATTATCACCTATTCGAGGGAGGACTATAAAACGTGTATGCGTCTTCAGTGACTGAAGGAGAGCTTCGAATAGTGATCTGGTCACTGTCAAAGGTTAGATCCGTTAATTCCTTGCCCTCCTCGTCAAATCCTGCCGTCTCCATTCTGTAAGACATGAAGCCATTTCAATCTCAAGTAATTATTGTGAAGTATAAGGCCACTCTGCACTTTCAAGACTTATTCTTATAAGTGCTCTAAATATTTAAGTAGCCTAAATGCATAGCCTATATTAGTCTATAACATTTAATAACAAAATATAGGAGATATTTCTGTAAAATTGCTTAGGCTAATTAATAGGCAATCAGTGCTATGTATTTTTTTCTTGCTTGTATTGTGAAATCCGCCATAAGTCGGAAAGATCACAAGATTATAGTCGTGTCTTTTAGAATTATTTACAATCAAATCAATACAAGAAAAAAAAATAGCCTATATAGCCTAATACTATACATTCTAAGCGCGTCACACTTTTGCCTTAAATCGTCCGATTCTACGCAAAAAAGAATGCATGAAACTCGTACAAGCCTTATTTAAAATGGTTAATAATCATTTCTTATCAGGTAGCCTACACTCTTAAAAATAAAGGTTCCAAATCATGCCTTTTGGGTTCCCCATGCAAAGAGCATTTCATTTAATTTTTTTTCTTTTACATTTTAATTTTCTTTTACATTTTCTTTAATTTCTTTTACATTTTAATAATCTGAAGAACCTTTTTCGACTATAAAGGAACTTTTGTGCACTGAAAGGGTTCAATGGACGTTAAAGGTTCTTCATGGAACAATGCCAATAAAGAACCTTTATTTTCAAGAGTGTATAGCCAACAAAACAAGATCTGTTGAAAATGTGTGACACTTGTCAATAAAACGCGTGTATATATATATTTTTTTATCCAACAGCCTTAAGCCAAATATCCTGTTTCGCCGTCCAACTTCACTCCCCGAAATCCACAAGATCATCGAGATCATCTCCGCGCGCTCGCAGAGACAGATGTTCAGTTTCCGTACCTGATGTTCGGATGGTTCAGAGGCGAACACACGTTGCATTGTACGAGGAGCCCGTAGATAAGGAAGGCAAGAGTCGTTTTGCTGCTCGTCATCATTCTGTAGAATAAAGACATAAATTAGAAGTAGACTTAATCGATTGGAACCATCGTGTCTAACCGCACAGACAGGTCTTTAAAACTTCCAGTCTTTGAAGCTCCAACTCCATTCTCTCCTCCTGTTACAGTATCAGGTGTCTCTGATAGCTCGCTGACTTATTATTTTTTTAAATGATGCTTCAAATGTTTCAACAGATGCACGCTCAAAACAACCCACTTTTATCTCAAACTGAATTATTTCATACAGAATAGCCTATAGAATCCCACAAATGCACGTTCCTCTCAGAAGAGGTTCACATAGCCTACCTACGGCTGCTGTCCAGTGGAGGCTGCAACCAAGAATGAGATGGAAATCTCAAGCTCGCTCTAAGACTCTCTCCTAAGCTGCTCTTTAAACTTTTCTACGCGTCACTCTATTATCCTTATGAGCACAGCGTAGATCCTATTTCCCCCCTCAGATCTCGGATCTGAAACGAGCTATCATTTGTCTTCATCCCTAATTATATTATCGCGAGTTTTATTCTCCCTGCCCTTTCTTCTGGACCCTTTTCACTCCCCACTTTAGAGATCGTGTCGACGTCATCCTCCCTACTATGGAGAGATGGAAAGATCACTGTACTTTTCCTTCCTCCATATATGGAGGAAGGGAAAGTACAGTGATCTCCATATAGGGCCCATTTTATGAAATGATAAAAATATTTACAAAACAAGTATTTACTGCTTGATTTCAGTTAGTGAATATTTTTGGTAGTAGTTTTATCTTTCTTAATTAGCATTTTCAATACGACGTATGTAGTGCATAACAATAATTTCTTCAAACAAAACAGCAATAATGTAATAATCATCATTTATTGGTTTATTTTTAATTCCATTTAGTTTAATTTCAATAAAAATGTTCATTTCAGTGCACTTTAAACGTGATTCAAAAAGTAATAATCTTTAATGAAAATAACTTCCCCTCCATCTTGCAGTGACATCTCTTCTCTACTGGCGAGAAGGCGAGGCAACCTGTCACTCACATGAAATCGACCAATAGCAAACCACAACCATCCAATCAATTCCCCATAAACAAAATCAAATCCTGTCCTACATTTATTCTTGTTTGTGCAGCCGTTTTTGATATACGTCACGATAGGGAAGAAAAGACTATCGCAACTTCTGTTTCATGACTTTAGATCGAAGAATCATTTTACAGGCTGTTTTGTAAAAGCATCTTAACTTAAAGGGATACTCCACTTTTTTTGGAAATAGGCTTATTTTACAACTCCCCCAGAGTTAAACTGTTGAGTTTTACCGTTTTTGAATCCATTGAGCCGATCTCCGGTTCTGGCGGTACCACTTTTAGCATAGCTTAGCATACATCATTGAAGTGGACAAGACCATTAGCATTTCTCAAAAAAAAAAGACCAAAGAGTTTCGATATTCTTCCTATTTAAAACTTGACTCTTCTGTAATTGCATCGTGCACTAAGACCGACGGAAAATGTAAAGTTGCGATTTTCTAGGCTGATATGGCTAGGAACTATACTCTCATTCCTGCGTAATAATCAAGAAACTTTACTGCCGTACCATGAGTGCAGCAGGCGTAATGATATGACGCAGCGCCTGAAAATAGTCCCCAGCTCGGTCTCCATGCTACAAGGAACGCTCCCTGTGCAAGCCATAGATATCTATATAAAGGCTAGATGTCTTACGGCGGAGTCTCTATCGTCATCACCGGCGGCCATCTTGTCACAGGCAGGGTTAATGTAAGGCGAGTTATCTGCACAAACACAAATACATGCACAAAGTTGACAAATCCCGCCCATGAAACCCGGAAGCGTGATAATCCCCTATAATGCGAGCGCACTAAAGAACTTTACGTGAGATACTTGCGTCCTGTCGTCATCATCTATGTGGGCTGCATCTTGACATTGATTGGTTTTGTAAATGGACGTGCGTCTGACGTCAGCGTGTTGTCAATTCGGCGGGTAACTGACAACGTGAATGAACAGACGCATACCGTTGCAAGTTGCAACTATATTGTTATTTTTATGGCATAATTACCTGCAGCACCAACTATACACAAGGCTTGTTCAAATTCGCCAAATGAAGGTCTTCGTCGTGCGAACATTTTGTCGTCGCCGGCAGGAAAGGAGGAGAAGACTGCAAGTTGACTTCTTATTATGTCATCAGACCATACTTCAATTAAAAACCTCGTCTCCTCCTCTCCCCATGTGCTACCACGGCTCATTTTTCCTGCCACCTTCTGTTTTTTCGGCAATGCGGGAACCACCGGAGCTTCCTGTAAAAGGTCTGAAAGTCCGAACCATACAGAAATGCTTTCACACTAGAAACGAACCAAACCTTTGTTCAGTTTGATCCGGACCGAGACTACCTCTTTTCGTCGGACCAAATTTCATCCGTTTGGTCCGGACTGTGGTCCGAGGTAGGTTTCACACCTGTAATTTTGATTCGGACCAAACTGAAAAGTCCGAAAGTCCAGACCAAACAAGGTAGGGGTGAAAGGGCCCTTAGTTAAATGTACCGAACAAACAAATGACGTTCTACTGAGACAATCACAGATTTAAAAAACAAACAAAAACATTTCCTATAGCATTAGGATCTCTCTTCTCATCTTACCAATTCGCCAGTGGGCAGGGCCAAAGACGCAATGATGTAGAAGTAGGTGGGGATCTGATTCTGCACTATTTTGTCATAATGTGACAAAATCCAAAACAATCCATTTTCAGAGCCTGATTTCAATAAAAGCTGTTTTTGGACTCCGAGGAAGCTTTGCATTCTTAAACTTAAACTATATTTTATTAGTACAATGACATTTTACATGTCAAAAGATCAAAGAAAAAAAGATTTCTCAAATCATGACCCCTTTAAAAGACATTTTAATTAAATATTGGACATTTTAACGCAATTGGAGGAATTGTCAGACGGTCCCATTTTACGAATCATGCACTGTGATAGCGCGTAATTTTTCTATAAATATGCGGCTATAAATATGCAGCTATAATAAGCGTTGTCGGTTTTGAGTGAATGTTTCATGTTCCTATGCAATAGCTGCATATTGTTAAAACTAGTGGTTTTCATATCTGTAAGACTGTCGAGTCTATAGAAAAGGGGCAAAGGAAATCAAATGTCTGGCGATGGTAGATTCTGGAAACTGAATGAAAAGAATTATGCTTATGCTTCACAAACCACAGCTCTAAACACACACGCACTAATATATATTTAATTAGAGTTGATTGGTATACTGCGTCAAGTAGTGTCAGTCATAACCTATCCAGTTTTGTCCTGTGCAATAACCTGTTTGCTTTTATGGCTCATTTGAACATATGTCTCTGTTTGCCTTAATTAGTAAAATATGCTTGTGTCTGTTCTTTATGAGGTAAATATGACATTTCTTTTATCCACGAGGAAGTGTGCATAACATACTCAACCTGAGTGCAACTTGTTTAAGCAAATAGTGGGGTAATATCATTGTTCAAATTAAAAGGATATTTGGATTCTTCATGCTCATTAGACCATTAATCTCTTTCTTATATGACTTATTTGTGACTAATTTACCAAAGAATCCACAGTGAAATGTACCGAACAAACAAATAATTCTCTACTGGGACAATCACAGATGGAAATAAATAACCACTTTCCTAGCATTAGGATTCTCATCTCATCCTTCGTTCTCGCTAAAGTGAGACTTCAGATGACTCTGAAAGAATCACGAGACTGAGTAACAATGCACCAGTCTTGGCAGCAGGCTGTAAATGGAGGCCAGCCAGTGCAGTGGAGGAGGCGATAGCAGGAATCATGTGGACATTGTGGGGCATGTTCAGCAAGGGAGAGGAGGCCTTGGATTAACAACGAGATGTCCAGAGTGAAACAAAGCCATAGCACCAGAGCTGAGGAAGATGGTGGTAGAGGAAACACGTAGACAGGAGAAAGCAGCAAGGTGGGCTGAGATAGTCTCCCGTGGTAAACCGGGATAGTGGACACGGTGGGATAAGTAGAAAACATCATTCCAACATAATCTCCATCAGTGGTGAAGATTCAGGGTGTGCTCTCTGCTCCAGCCCAGCTTCCCTCAGCACATACTGACAGGGTGTTAAGTCAGCCTCACCCTGGGTCATTACATGTGGCGTCATGACCAAGTCCTTAATAATAAACCAGATGGAACTGGATAATATTCTGATTGTTCCAATCCGATCTGACTTCTGACCAATGCTGCTTGAATCATAAATCATACACTGTTCGTTCGTTGGCCAGAGGAGAACTGGCCCCCCGACTGAGCCTGGTTTCTCCCAAGGTTTTTTTTCTCCATTCTGTCACCTGATGGAGTTTGGGTTCCTTGCCACTGTCGCCTTTGTTGCCATTGGCTTTTGCCCTGTTAGTTGGGGACATTCAATTTAATATTCAACAATATTATTGATCTGCCTGAATTGACACCATTATATGAGAACTGAACTTAGCTGGATGATGACATCACGTTTTTTTTCCAGAGCGGCTATATATATATAAATGAACTAAATGAATAACTTTTTTACAACAAAAATGAAACATCACTGAACTTACTTAAAGCTCCTGTAGGTAACTTTTAAAAAACATGTATTTGCTAAAACTGTCATTATGTCCTGACAGTAGAATATGAGACAGATAATCTGTGTAAAAATCAAGCTCCTCTGGCTCCTCCCAGTGGTCCTATTGCCATTTGCAAGAAATACACGCTCCCGGTCAGAAACAACCAATCAGAGCCAGGAGGAATGTCTTAGCAGTGTCAGTCACGCTCGTGTAGGCGCTGATCACACCCCTCTCTTGCACAGCGCGAGCGCCGGAGCGCGAGCCGTCGTTCAAACTCAAGATTGCCGGGTGTTGTGCCGAATTATTACCCCCCTCGTTGAAGTCAGTACCTGATTGCCTAATCGCAACCACGCCCCTAATCCTAACCCCTCCCCACAACTAATCCTAAACCTACCAATGCTAGGGGGGTAATTTGGCGGGGGTCGAAATTCGGCACAACACCGGCGTGCTGCAGCTGTGCTTATGACGGAGAAACAACCTAAACTGCCAATTCTCGAGTGACACCTGCTCATAAAACAAAGAGGTAAAAGGAAAAAGACTGATGACGATAACCAAGCGAAAAAGAAAGAATTACACAGAGCCCATTGACTCGGTGTCAAAACTCTAGCCGCATAACATGTAGATAAAATGTCACGCACTCTGCTAAGCAACAATTGAAACCTGCTAATTCACTGGCTTGTCATGTTGCTGAAATAATGTACTAGCACACCTTATCTAGCATTATATATCGCTAGAATAATTACTTACATACTGTAACATTAGTTACCGTTATATTAACGTTATCTTACTAGCTATTTATAACTTATAGAAAGAGTGCAACGTTATAAAGTTACATGTAGGCTATTGCAAAATACAAAATGATTTGAGGACCAAGTTTGTAGTCAAAGTATGGGCAGGCCATAGTCAATGTAAAGCATATTGTTGACGTTTAGTCCCTATTAGTGAATGTGCCATATAACTTTTTATCCGCCGTTATGGGTGGCCCTGTTTACTAGCCTGCCCGTTCACGACAGGCTCCGCTGTGGAGGACGAGCTGTGGAGGGAGGGCTGTAGCGCAGCAGAGAGCAAGGGGGTGGGACCTGTAAGTTGTGCTTGTTCAAATTTTCAGGCTAAGTCAACGTTTTCTCAAAACTCCCTTCTGCAGCTTTACTTAAGCTGGACTGTGAGGCTATTTTCTTCTGGAAACAAACTTTTTGGCATTATTTTCCTGTTAACTCTGTAAAGATGCTTTTAAACAATCTGTATTGTAAAAAGCGCTATATCAATTAATGTGACTTGACAGAGGCCAATGGGCAAATTTGACCAGGATGCCGGGGTTAAACCCCTACTCTTTTTCTGAAGGACATCCCGGGATTTTTAATGCCCACAGTGAGTCATGACCTCGGTTTAACGTCTCATCCGAAGGACGGTGCTTTTTGACAGTATAGGGTCCCCATAACTATACTGGGGCGGGGCGTTAGGACCCACACAGACCACAGGGTGAGCACCCCCTGCTGGCCTCACTAACACCTACACCAGCAGCAAACTAGTTTTTCAGGAGGTCTCCCATCCAGGCACTGACCAGGCTCAACTCTGCTTAGCTTCAGTGGGCAACCAGTCTTGAGCTACAGGGTGATATGGCTGCTGGCCATAAGAGCCTTGCCTCCCTTGAGGAAAAACATATTACCATCAATTCTTTACCACCAGCGAGTGACTCCCGGTTGGGACACCAGTTATCACTGTTGAGCCCTCTGGAGATGAGATGGGCTCAACGAAACATCAGTGAAAGAGAGTGCCCACCTGATGACGTGCCTACCCTCCCATATTTGCTGACATTCCTGTCTCCCATAGTTCCAATCCGATCCTGCAACAGTCAAGACCAAGAATTTAATTGGTACGTGCTCGCACAAAGGATGTTTACATCTTATCCTGTTTAAAAACTGTGATTATTTGAGTGCTGTATGCAGATTAAACTGAATATAATAGTTGTGAGTTGGGTTATTAATTTGTATATGCAGTAATATAGAGGATTCTGAAACCTGTAAGGTTTTGTACTGACAAGCCAAATGACTTGTTGATGTGTATCACTACCGTTTTTAAATGATGCATATAAACAACAGGATTTCAGATTTTGGTCATTTTTGTCACTCACCTGTTTAACTAAAAAGTTAATTGAAATGATGCTTATAGTACATACTACAAAATATATGTATTGTCCATACACTCTTAAAGGTTCCAATTGGGGGATTTTACCTCTTTTTCGGGGCCAATCTATCAGTAAGTTAATTTATTCCAATGTACACAAAGTCTTGAAAGTACTGAAGTACCTTTTAAGTAGCTTATAAATGTGTTGAATAGTTTAGCATTATGTTTATTTTTGTGTATACATTAGTTATGAAAGCTATTGCATTTGAATAATGCAGAACTCCATTTCTCTTTTAAATATATTGTTAAAAGCCAAAAGGGGGCAGCAAAGTAGAAGTAAAAAAATGATAATTTGCTAAGCATGTTTTGTCATGTGTAACTCTGCTCTGAAGCGCTTGCCCAAGGATGAACTAGATTTAAGTGAAGGTTGAGGCAGATTTGCAAAATGACATTCGTAGATGCAACAACTTGGTGCTTCCGAGTCAAATGGTATTGACTAATAAGTAAAACGTAAAAAATTTAGACATTTCAAACTCACTTCAATTAAAACATTAATTTGGTCCTAAGAATATGGCTGCATTTGGCAGGGGGTTTACAAGACCTCTGATCTGTTAATGAAGCAGATGGGAAACCAATGTTATTTTTGTTGTTGAACTATTGAACTATTGAATAGTTCACCCATAAAATTAAAATTCTGACAATTTACCCTCATGTTGTTACAAATCTGTATGCATTTCTTTCTTCTGCAGAACATGGGAGGGACAAACCTCCATATTTCCTAAATTAACTAGTTGGTCGTTTGTCTCAACTAATCAAATAAATTTGACTATTGTTTGGTTTACAAAACTAGTTAACAAAATAAACTGTTTAAGCATTGTGAGTTGACATACATTTATTATAGTTTCAGGATTCAAAACAGGAAAACCATTATGATTTCATTTGTAGGGTAAAAAAAGTGTTGCAACTTTCGCTTAAGAGACAACTACTGTAGGTAGGTAATTCCTATATAATTTGGCTGGCTTTGGGTTCACCTCATCCCGATCAAATTGTATGGGTTATTCTTCAACTGAAATGAGACAGAATCCATAAGGAGAATAAATAAAAAAAAGTTATTGCTATGTAAAGTCAATTTAATTTTGTATAGCACTTTTTCACAATACACATTGCATCAATGCAGCTTTAAAAAACATCATTATGTTATTGTTTATAATATTTTTATGCCTTAGTCACATTGATCAGATTAGTGCAGGGCGATAATAGTTAAAATTTTGCAATGATAGAAGCAATATTTTTGTTCAAAATGCTATATTCAGTAAAATGTACGCTTCCGGACATTTTAATTTGAAATAATTGTAGGGAAATAGGCTTACTAATATAGTGCTGCACATGAAATGGTTAGAAATTTAGCAAAATCTATGAAAAATAATAAGAACGAATTAACTCAGCATGCGCCCCCACAGATCAACCAACGTAACGACCTTTGCGCACAGAAAATAGTCCAAATTGACATCCATTGTTGTAACACCACAGACAAAAACATTGGGGGACAAAAAGTTCTTAAAATATAGGCCTGATAAAGATGCGTTTTTAAATGATTTCTAAAATGTTAAATTAAATCTATATTTACAATATAACCACTTTGTGTTAAAATGTTATATTATGTTGTATTATTCCTCTCATGTATGGTGCAGGGGGCAGATTTTTACATGAAATCTCAAACTCAATTAAATATGTATTTTAAAGTGACAGCTTTTTTCCAAACTTTTCCAAACTGCGTAGGAACCCAATGATCCTTCTAATGCATCAACTAGATCACAGTTGGACAAATAGCGAAATCATTAAAGGCAGGTTGGTTGACTAGGCAGTACTATTTGTAACACCTCCGGGTGTTTACAACCTATTTACAACCAATCGGATGTCAGCATAAATATAGAATGAAGACAAATCAATGCAAATGTTGGTTGAAAAAGTTTATTTATTTTACAATTTTTAAAAAAAAGATGATTATAAGGTCTAAACAGCCATTTGCATTTTGATTGAAGGATGGGGGTCATAGTCAATGATCTCAAAATCCTCCGCAGAGAAGTCATTAATTTGCTCAACTTTGCGTTTGATCTTGAGTTTGGGGAATGGACGTGGCTCTCGCTGAATCTGTGGGTACAGGACATGTTAGAAACACACTTTTTACACTGTAGATACGTAAACATCATTATGTCACGATTTTCCCTGTGTCTTGGGTGTTCTAGGACTTTTATTTTGAAGTCTATTTTATGTTTTTAATGTTTCCTTTGTTCACTTCCTGTTTGCCTTTGTTTCTATAGCTACCCTTGATGGTTTCCATGGCAATTTATTACCCACACCTGTTCCTTGTTAGGCTTTTGTTACCTGGTGTATACATATACCCCTGTGTTTCAGTTGTCTTTTAATGGTTGTTGTCTTTACATGCATGTTTATAAAGTTGTTGTGTTTCCGTTCCCTATTTGGATTATCATCATCTTCCCTGTTTGGATTCATGTTTCACTGTTATGATTATTGTTATCATCGTCACTGTTTGGATTATCTGGCTCATCTTTGTTTATATGTTTGTTTAATAAACTATTGTTGCAAACAGATCCTCACCTCTCCTCTTCCCTACACAACCGTAACCGTAATTTTCCTAATATATAGGAATATTGATATTGGAATTTTATTTGTACAGTTATTGATGGTGAAGGCGAAATAATTTAACAATGAAAGTTTAATTCAAAAACACCAACAGAAATCCAAATGCCTATTAAAGATACTAGAAGATAAGTAGATCCCCAGAAGTAAATTCCTACAGTTATTTCTTATTTATCATCAATCTCTTACATGGACTAGGAGAATTTTCCTCCCTTTCCAATATCTATATGCCTTAATATTTTGATAAATGAGAGAGGAAAAAACACACACAATACACTTTTTAATGGGGTGTACTTTGCCTTTTTCACACCACTGTAGATGAATGCAGATAGATTAGTTTTATGGAATTTATGAAACATACCTGCTCTTTCAAAGGCTCAATGTGGTTGGTATAGATGTGGGCATCACCTAGTGTATGCACAAAATCTCCAGGCTAGGGAAAATAAAAATGAGTGGTTTGGTTAGTCTGTCCATTAAATAGTATGAATGCAGATTTCACAAGCTATGATCTTCATGAAATTGTAAGGCACAAATGTTACATCAAATTAAATAAAACTAGTTGGATTAATGGATTTATATATATATATATATATATATATATATATATATATATATATATATATATATATATATATATACACACACACACACACACACACACATACATTTACTTCCTTCGTGAAAAATTAGTGTTTAATTGTATTTGATGTGCATTTGAAGTGTACTTTAAATAGTTATTTAAAAAATAAAATAAGATATACCCATTTGCAGATGATATAATATTAATGAAATAAAAGGCAATCAGTGTACTTAAAGTACACAAAATTAAACTAAATTGCCAATTCATCATTACAAATGTATAATTACAAATAAATGCTTATTCTAAAGTTAAGCTAACTATATCTAAATTTAAACCATAATAATAGAGCTGTCACGATTCAATTAAATTCGAGTACTCAATTTTAAAAAAATTCTCGATTGCAATTTAATGTTGTTTAATAACCGGCAAAATACCGGAAGTGGCGCATTCCACGGACGAGAATCCATGAACCGCATTTTTAGACCGTTTTATAAGGCTACACGACATATGTTAATAACCATTTAAAAATACACACACAAACTACGATCTGCTGCGAGGAGACGCGGTTCTGATGCCTGTACCTGTGCCTGTGATGGGCAACATTGCGAGAAAAAACAGATATGCTTCAGCGCTCTGTCCGTTCTAGGGTCGCATCTTGTGTCAGTCATCAAGTCCCGTTCTGGTTCGCTCGCATGTCTAAAACCTTACCAGGGTTTGTTTTAATCGAACCAAACATGCCAAGTGTAAACACCCTTATAGCATTTTTTTCCATAATAAGTGCTCTTTTTAAGTATGCTTAAGTGCACTTTTTGTGTTACAAGGGTTGGTACACAAACCAAAATTTCCATATTGAGGTCTAGTAAATAACTAATAAATCTAATAAATAACTCGATATACATCTGTATACCTACATATCTGTTTAAGTTTCTAGTTCTCAAAACAATATTAAAGGGCTAATGAAAATTCTGTCATCAATAAAAATATTTGTCTTAGTAGAAGATGAAGATGAACTAAAGTCTTACGGGACTGGAATGACATGAGGGTGAGTAAATGACAATTTTCATTGATGGGTGAAATAACCTTTTAAATGTCCATATACTTAACTGACAAGAGTAGCTATTTAAAGTATAGTACGTTGAATCAAATCATGCATAATTTGATTACCAGATGAGTGTACATTATCCCTTACATTTACAGTATGCAGGAAGATGTCCTTTTACAGATCATCAGATTCTGAAATATGTTCACCTTGAGTCCAGTGATGTGGGCAATCATGTAGGTGAGTAGAGCGTAGCTGGCAATGTTGAATGGCACACCCAGACCCATGTCACCAGAGCGCTGGTACAGCTGGCACGACAACTCACCGTCTGACACATAAAACTGGCATAACGCATGGCAGGGGGGCAATGCCATCATAGGGAGATCTGTCAATAAAATGTCATCATGCATACACGTCAAATAAAATATTAGATGAAAAACTGGTAACACTTTACAACAAGGTTTCATTAGTTAACTTTAGTTAACTACATTAGTTAAACTAATAATGAACAATACTTCTACAGCATTTATTAATCTTAATGTTAATTTCAGCATTTACTAATACATTATTAAAACCAAAATTTGTTAACATTAGTTAATGCACTGTGAACTAACATGAACAAACAATGAACAACTGTATTTTTATATATGTAACAAGTGTATTGTTGACTGTTAGTTCATGTGAATTAATACATTAACTAATGTTCATTAGTCAAATTCAAAATATTAAAAGATACCATAGAAGTATATGAATTATATTAAAATAACACTGCTGGAAGGTTATAAATTTGATTGAGACCTTTGGGGTTCCAAGCACACATGATGATCCTCCTGTCTTCTGGGTTTGACTTGATGGTGTCAATCACCTTCTGTAACTGGTCAACACCTTGCCCAGAGTAATCTTCATAGGGAGATGAAATCACAGCCTAGCTTAGACACAAATTCTTACCATACATACATAAAAAGACATTTCAAATTTCACGAGTCTCTCAGTTAACGAGGTCTTAAATACTGCATGAATAATAATCAGTGTCTACAGTCACCTACACTATGCAACCTAATGGCTTGATAATTATACAACAATTTTAAAGAGCCCCTATTATGCTTTTTCAGATTTGACCTTTCATGTAGTGTGCAATGCAATATAGTTGTTAGTGAACGTAAAAGGTCTGCAAAGTTTCAAAGATCAAAGAGTTAGGCCCTGTCCCAAATGGCGCACTTCATGCGTACTTTCGGTCTCGTGGACTTAAATTGCGCGTGCTCGCTGAGTCTACGAGTCCGTAGGCCGTCCCATTGAGCATTTTAACGCTCTGAAGTGTGCTCAGCAGCGCCCCCTTTGTACCCTTGAAGCGGTCTTCCGCGAAGCCCGCATAGATGCAGGCTCCACGCACTTTAACTACCCAGGAATCCTTGCAAAAGGCCAATCAGACGACGGATGGGAGGAGATTTCGCTCACGGACAATTGTTACATGGCTGAGAAGAAAATATTTAAGAGTAATTATCATTACGGTTTTTATGACAAGTTTATACAAACATTATGATTATCGACCAGTGGTTAATGTCTCAAACATATGCTAATAATAGCGAGCTGCATAATATGATCGCATTATGATTCATTAAATAAGTAGAACAGAATGTCAGGGCTTTACTGAGTCATATGTAAACACAACAACAATAGGCAGGATATTTCCCTGAGCCTGTAGCTCCTGTCTATAACAACAATCAGACCGTCTTCCTGTTTCCGGCGTGACGATCGAGTCTGTCCCAAAAATACCTCTCAATGCGCCCTCGCGGACTCGCGTTAAGGGCCCTATAGGTCTGCACTACATGACGTCGCCGAAGTGTGGACTCTGAGGAAGTCCACAAGTCCAGAGTGTGCCATTTGGGACAGGGCATTACTGTCTCCCAAAAGAAAGAACCGATTCTGACCAGCTGCCTGAAACGAGTCATCAGCAATTCCATTCTTACTTCCTGAATTAACCTATGTACGTTTAAAACAATTTTAGCATAATGCGCATCTATGGTATTCCTTGGTTGTTCAACAAGTTCATATTAAGTGACACCTTTTTAGACACCATATTGCCTGTTTTTGCTCTATTTTACCAACGAAAATAGTTCAAAACAAAGCCACGCACGGCAGTGTTTCCTTACTGAGTGAATCAGCTTTTTGAACGAATCAGTTGACTAGGATAGATTAAGATAGTCAAATGCTTCTCTCCTTGAATGAATCAGCCGTTTGAATGAATCGGTTGAATCTCAATGATTCGCTCAATAACAGTGACTTGCTGCCTGCCACCTACTGGCGGTTTCAATTTCACATTTACAGTATCTTTTCTTGTTTTAAATCATTTTAAATATCAATATTCAATATTAATAAGGTGAATTTTGTTGATACTTCATGTTAATGAATGAGAGTGTCGGCCGTCACGCTTCCGATGATATCATATTTATAGATATTGTTTTTTCCTAGGGTATGTTGCAACATACTTATTGGCCCTCATTTAACATTCTTGCGTAGAAACGGGCGTATATGTTGGCGTTAGATTATGCTTACACTCCTCTCACCGCCTGATTTATGAAGCTGTGCGTACCTTTGAAATCCAGGTGTACGCAATACCTGCCCTTGATAAATCCTGCGGCTGAAAACGATCGTCATTAGAATAGCACGCCCCTATATATTCAAGTCTCCGCTTCCCCCACGCCCTCATTTTACGCCATGTACACACGGAAGACGGCATAGAAGAGAAACTTCTCTGACGTGGAGCCGAAATGTCCTATCACAATGCAATATTTTACGGCACGTCTTTTGAAACAATTAGCATTCAATTTCGAATCGCGTCACATGTATTGGGGTGTACAATAGTGACGATGATGATGTGATGTGGAGTACCATTCATTCACATTAATAATTGCATGACAATTTGTAATATTCTTCTTATTATTATGATTTTTATTATTAATGACGCTTGTTGTTATTTAGAAGAAGAACGTCGTTATTATTATTTATTTGTATTATTATTATTATTATTTAAAAGAAGAAGAATGTATTTTTTATTATTTTGTCAGTCTGAATTATTTTTTGGTCATTGAAAGCCTTTCATTACCGAACCCAGTCCGTGCGCACCTGCCGGGCCTAACCATGAAACGTCAGGGTAAAGCGCACAGGCTCGCAACTGAAGGAATACATATGGCTAAAAATCAAATGCTTTGGTAAAGTCACACAAATTAAACATTGAAGTCCATGTTGCACAAAAATAAACACTGAAGTTTATAATTACTATGTTGTTGTTGTTGGTCATAATATATCATATCTTTTAGTTTGTCAGTGCGTTTTGTGGTGTTAGGAATTGTTTTTCTGCGCATTTCTGCACTAACACAAAACGTGCGTACACCACCTCCTGAGCTGGCGTAGGATTTGAGCGTTCCGTACACCAACGTCCATATTGATAAATCTCAAAGTCACCGTGGGTTTGGGTGTACGCTGGAAATTTGGTGTACGCACTTTTGATAAATGAGGGCCACTGTGTCTATTTTTATTTGTTCAAAATAAAAAATAAAGACAAAAAAGACTAGACAAAGACTTTAGGGCCTTTGGTTAACCTGGTCACACTGCAACATTCAGATCTGTGTTCGCGCAGCTGCTGATCTGGAGAGAGCAGCTGCCATGTAAAAGTACAGTAAAAGCACACAGTCTTTTCAACCACACATTATCGTTATTTATGCGTTACAAACATTTAAATAACAGGGGATACAAGTATACTGGCATAAAAGTTTAAAGTTTGGGTATAAACACGGTATTGATCTTTAAAGGCACACTATGCAAGAATTGTACCTTAATATGACAGCTTCAAAGTAATTTTGGTGGTAAACAAACTCATAGTAGGGCGAATCATCCTGGTAGTAAAGCTTGGGGGGGACGCCGCTGGAAAAACCAGCAATGCAAGTTTCAGAGGAGCGCCCCCGACAAATCTCACGAGAATCACGACATGCTTTACGGCAACGACGTCACACACATCAACAACAACATATGAAGCACGAAGACACTTGCGCGCATTTCAGATGTGTGATACTCGACGATGAAAAAAGGAAAGAAAACACGGTCGGAAGAGACTAGGAAAAGGAAAAGAGAATCTGACCGCGTGAGGAACCGGAAAAGAGTCCCTGATTCGCCCTCGCTATGTGTGTGCGTGTTGTGACAGTGTGAGTGGGCGCGGCTGATCAGCGCCAGCTGTTTTGAATGAGGATGTCCTATTGTTTGTTACCTCGTCCTGTCTTTGTCAGATGGTTGTTGAGGCTACCAGGGTTCTACTCGCCATGTTCTCCTGCATTCCAGTCCTGTACCCATGCAGTGGTTTCCTGAGATTTTCCCGGAGGAATTTCTACCTGTTCCTGCATCTGTGTCTGCCCACTGCGTCCCTGCGTTGCCAAGCCTGAGTCTTCTTCTGCCTGCTTCCATTTTGACCCACACAAAAATCTACTATTGTGCTCAATAAATTACTGTTTACTCGCAACTGAATCCTTTGACTATTTCCTTCAGAGTTGTGACAGTCGCACTCGCTCGGGCTTTCACTAGACGGCGCGAGCTAAAAAGCAGCACTGGATGCAACCGCAATGCTGACGTGGCGATCTTGTTGATGGACTAGTAAATAAATCGCTTAATTCTACACTTGTTTGCGTTCTATGTTGTTGCGCTTGCTTGTAGTATGTCATTTTTTTACGATGCTGTTCATTCATCCATTGTTGATAATTAGACCAGTCCAATAATTTCCACATATGTCTAGATAGCTATTTACGACAGCGCAAGTATTCCACAGCGACTATAGGGGTCGCTGTTTGACAAAAACACAATTTCTGCATAGTGTGCCTTTAAAAAAAGCATTTTTACACTTGTGTATTGTATTGATTATCGTTACTCCAGGCAGCGATGGTGAACGGGGGCGGGGAGCAGCAGCTCATTTGCATTTAAAGGGATACATCCAAAAAGGGGGAACTTTTGACAAGCTATAATAAATTATCCGATTTTGAGCTGAAATTTCACAGAAACATTCTGGGAACACCATAGATTTATATTACATCTTGTGAAAAGGGCATAATGTGTCACCTTTGAAGTGTATTTTGACCTTAGATGCATGTAAACATATTGTAGGACACTACAAAACAGAAATTAGGAACCCATAAAATAGAATAATTGGGGCACTTTAAAATATAGTTTACTGTTAAAATGTGTTAATAATTCAGTATACATTGTTGCTATATGTAAACGTCTATATATATATATATATATATATATATATATATATATATATATATATATATATATATATATATATATAGATAGACAGTTACCAGTGTGCATGTCATTGTATTCAGCTCCAAAGTGCCTCCACTGAAAGCCATACACTGGGCCCAGGTCTCCTTCCTCGCGATCAGTAAAGCCATTTTTATCCAGAAACTCCCTGGAGCCATTAGCATCCCAGATTCTCACACCCTTTTGTGACAGCTCTTTGGCATTTGTTGAACCCTAAATAGGATGAACAAAAAGCAAATAAAAAAAATGCGAAACTAACAAAAACCAAAGAAAAAAACTAAATACTGTATACAGAAATAAGATACAAAAAGTTTGGAATATTTTCCTACTGTACCTTGATAAACCACAGGAGCTCCTCCAATATGCCTTTCCAGAAAACCCTTTTGGTCGTCAGCAAAGGAAACTGATCTGTGAGGCACATTATGAAAAAAATTTTTTAATTATGAAAACATTTCAACAGTAGTTGATCCTTTAATCGTATAAACCCTCCTCTCAAATGGTACATGTCTTGTGCATAAGAATATATATACACTACCGTTCAAAAGTTTGGGGTCGGTACGATTTTAAATACTTTTAAAAGAATTCTCTTCTGCTAACCATGGCTGCGCTTATTTGATTAAAAATACAACAAAAAACAGTTATAGTATTAAATATTATTCCAGTGTAAATCAGCTGTTTTCTGTGTGAATATATAGTAAAGTGTAATTTATTCCTGTGATCAAAGCTGAATTTTCAGCATCACCAGTGTCAGTGTCTTCAGTGTCCTTCACAAATCAGTATAATATGAGGATTTGATGCTCAAGAAACATTTATTATTATTATCAATGTTGAAACAGTTGTTGGTCTGTCAGTTGTACAGTTTTTTTTTTTTTTTTAGGATCCTTTGATGAATAGGAAGTTTAAAAGAACAGCATTTGTTTGAAATAGAATCTTTTGTAACATTATAAATGTCTTTACTGTCCTTGATAAATAAACATATTGATTTCTTTCCTCCAAAAAATAAAAAATAAAATTCTCACTGACCCCAAACTTTTGAACGGTAGTGTATATAGTTAGTTAATATTTCAAGATGAACACTTACTGAACTGAAGCAACTAAGGTTTACTTGATTATCAACATTTTTTGTAAAAGTCCTGTTAAAATGTGAGTATCATATATGATACATTAGGTTTTTGAGGAACATTTATTTGTCCATCTCTCAATCATCATTGTATTGCATTGCATTGTTTTAAAACTACAGAGCTTTGATCATAAAACTAAGCATGTAAATACATTAAGACATATTTATATAGATATCTCTCTATATATATATATAGATATTTATATGTTTTATGCAAGTAGTCTGCTATAAATTATATGCTATCAGAATTTCATCTTACCTTTTTGACCGTATAAATATCAGCAACTGCATCAAATCGCATATTTTTGGTCAGTTTGGGTCTTTTGATTTTGAAATTTAAGTGTTTTATCCTCCTTGAGTATCAGCTCCATATACTCACAAGCCTATATCATATTATATGAGCCGTAATATGATATGATACTCAACAAAAACCACAAGCAAACTTTTTTTTAAACGCCTTTTTATATTTTGTCTAAATGTTCAATAAATTGTTCCATTTAAAAAAATATATTTTTTATTTCATATGTCAGACTTTACAGAGTTAAAGGGTTAGTTCACTCAAATATGAAAATTCTGTCATAATTTGATGACAGAACTAATCCATATGAATTGAGCAGTTAAGTCCAAATTGTCTGAGGAGGCACAATCTCTTTATATGATGAACAGATTGAATTTAGGCTTTTATTCACATATATAAACATTCATCAACTCACACATCAGGGGCCTGTTTCAGAAAGGAGGTTAGATGAAAACTGAGTATGTTAACCCTGAAACGAGGGAAACTCTGGGTTTTCCATTTCAGAATGGGAGGCATGTCAAACCCGAGAAAGCAGAGTAAGTCAAGCCCGTTTCTGAAAGAGAGGTAACTTATACTCTGAGTCAGTTACCATGGCAACTAACTCTGTGAACCAAACCTGGTCGGGAGCAGGTTTTCTTATGTAAGTTTTTCTTTAAGTAAATGCATCTTGATTTAAGTTCGGTATTTTACACTTAAAGCCCTGTTTTAAGATCGTTTCTGATGAAATAGAACGGTAGAGATTGAAATTTGGACACATGCTGCTGTCCCGAGAATTTTCAGTTTCTGTGGCTGCGTCGCGTCATACTTGCGTTCTGTCTGCCTAATGTGTTTTCTCTCTAAATGAATGCTCTATTTAATATAATATAGCCGAATGTCAAATAAAGCTGTTCTAATTTCCTTTTTTTTTTTTTATGTCAGACAATAGAACGAGTAGCTATGATATAGTGAATGACTACATTTTTTATAGGTCTATGTGGAAAATGATCTGAATTGAGAGAGTTCGGGAACCGGATGAAATAAAGCTCTGTGATAACATAAGATCCTTTTAGGATCTTTAGGAGATTATACTTAAGATAATATAAGTATTACAAGTAAAAAGCACAAGAAAAGAAAGGAAATTAAAATGGTCAAACTAAATTCTTTAAATATAAAACAAAAGAAAAGCAGATGAGTGACAAGGCCGTGGAAAAACAGCTCATTCACGTCTGTCAGCAGCCGTGCGCTCAACAGATGAATGTACTGCTCCTCTCAGCCATTCACTGAATAGGGTAACGTTAGAGAGAGAGAGAGATGACAGGGAGAAAGCAAGACCTCGCACTCGCAGGACAATATAAGTCTAATAATTCTTAAAAGTTAATTAAATCTGCCTGGGGTTAATGTGTAAGCTTGAACACACAACACAGATGAAACAAATGACTTGAACACAAACTATTTACAATAATTTCAAATATTTTATTAATTTGAGACATTACCAAGAATACAATTTAATAATTCAATTAACAGACAGACATACAGATACAGACAGACATACATGCATACAGGCAGACAGACAGACACCAAGTCTGTCACCAATAGGAGAAAAAAAATAAGGATATTGGTCACAACAAGATGAAGATTTAGAATAATTAGGGAAATTATTCCCTTCCAGTGCCGTAATATGCATCTCGTACTCGTAGACAAAACTCCATAACTCTCTCAATATTCGCATGCGCGGGTAAAACCAAAACGCGCGGGTAAAACCTTTTTACAGTCTATGGGTGAAACTGTGGCTATGCGGCTCTGCAGTCAGACCCTTCTCGCAATATTTGGAGGTTGCTGAGGTTTCTCCAAAAAGTCGCTAGTCGCTTTTTTTTTTTTTTTAAAGGTACAAAACGCAAGTCTCTGAGTTTTTGCAGAACTACGCCCCCTCTGGCGATAAGCGAAACTGCAACCAGAGTTATGCACGCTCATGGACGACACGCTAAAGCATTACACATTTTACGCATCGTCATTTGTTGTCATACATAGATTGGCCGTATCAAACATTAGAGACTGGGCTATATCTTACCGTTTCATCAAGAAAAAAGCCAACTGAGGATCCCGTTTGAGACCAAGAGCAGACCGGAGATCTCTCGAAGATGCCTTCCCGAGGTTGACTCTCGTCTTACTCCGACGCCTGTCTGACTCCAATTTGGACCTTTTGGTGGCACTAGACAAAATTTCTCTTTTCTTTTCTTTACGTGGAGTTTGCGTTGGGGTTTGGAATGGACTACAAGCCGGTCTCTTTTAATCCATCTTCTAGCTTTAATGCGGAGAATGGCGGCGCTGGCGAATACACAAACCTGCCTGCGAGACATAGCCTGGTGAGCGTGAACGCGACTGACGTCACGCCCAGTCTCAAATAAGGATGCAACGATTACAGATTTTCTAAGTACGATTATTGTCTGAGAAATAATCACGGTTTAACGATTATCACGATTATTATGTATCAATTAATTTCACAACACTACTAATGTATAATATCACATGAACACTCAACACTAGATTTTAATGTGTTATTTATTGCTGCCACAACACAGTACAAAATTATAAAATGGCAAACAATAATCAATCTCTTCCTTTGGAATTAAAGAGAAGTGCTTTGTAAACATCCAGCATTTTTCTTTTAAAAATAACAAATTAAGTCAAAGGCTGCAGGACTCTTTGATTGAAATAGATCACAAAATTATTAAGTTTTTAGTTTGTTCTAAATTTATTTTCAACCTGAGGTAGAAAACTTGATAACATGAAAACAATAGCTTGTTGGTATTTGACTTAAAAACATAAATAAAGGGATAATAAATCCCAATGAAAATAAAAATAAACAAAGTATTTGGCTGGCTCTATTGAATTAAATGCAAGCTAAATATTAGGCCTATGTATTTCTTTTAAAAGAAAACAAATATAGTCCAAATGTTATCCACCAATATTATTGTACTTATTGTAATACTCTTTTTTAAATTATTAATCCAAATTTTACATGTGCCTTTAGGAAATCATCTATTATAATCTCATTATTTTGGTTTGTTTGTTTGAAGTTTAAGTAAAAATTATAGAAAGAAACTGAGAACATCTCATGCAGTGTTATTAATAACTGAAATGCAGTTAATTGGTAGTCCTAGAAGTCTACATGATCTTATGTTAGTGTTTTACACCGGGCATATTAAAACTACAAAGCCTAACATTTACTCAACACAGACAGGAGAAAGCAATAGGATATTAAGTTAAATGTTCCCTGAAACTCTTGAGAGCACGTCACATTCGGTTTTCCACAGACTTACGTAACCAAAACATTCCGCTGTTTTTTGTTGTTGTTTTTTTTACGTTGCACTGAAAGCTGAAAGTTGCACTCCGCGTTCTCCTTTTTCCAAAGCGCTAGGGCGGTTGCGCTCCGGAGGCGTCTGTCGTTGCTCTGTTGGTTCTTGTCACTTGACCTACGGTGCGCTTGCGGCATTCTGAAAAGTAGAGATGCTTTTATCTAGATGCGGCGCGGACGCGCTTGGAAAAAACGAGCGCGTCGCTTCCATTATGAGCGCGCATACCGCGTGCCTACATTTGAAATAACGAACTTGAGCGCGCAAAAGACGCGATATGTGAACACGCACCTTAAAGACCCACTCCGATGAAAATAATGTTTTTCTAGGTGTTAACATGTTCTTGTGGCATTTTTCTTATGTTAGAGGACATATCTTGAGAAAAATAAGCTCAAAGTTGTATTTCTGAGTATTTCTACATTCAAATGGCTGTGAATCAGTAGCAGACGCTAAAATGCCGTTCAAAATAGACTGGAGTTGTGACGTAGTAACTCCACTGGGCGGGGCCACAAGCTTGTTAAAATTAATCGAAAGTGCCCCTCTCAAACAAATATCAATGATAATATTGTTTTCAATAAAACAAAATGCATTTGATTATAATTAACATGACAATGTGACAAAATTCACGTTTACTTGTATGTTTCTGTCGGTTTGAGCTGTCGTTGCCATGACTCGTTGCTATGGGTTGCGTCACTTGCGTGTCTTGCATCGGACTCGACTGAAGGGGTCAGTCTCCGTTTTCGAGGCCGAGGGTCAGTAATGTGGACGGCAGGAGCGCATAATCGTTGCAAAAGTTATGCGTTTTAAAACGAAAACGCACTGTACGGCTGGATAGCTCCAATATTGCTCTCAATTTTTGTTGCACCGGTAATGACAGGTTGGGGGTGTAAGCTAGCGGGAGAGACAGAGCTCTCAGCAACGGGCAGGGGGAGGGTCATCTCCGTGCCAACGGCTCCGCCCACAACGCAGAGGCGAATTGCTAATGAGCTGCTGCTGCTCTGCTGAAGCAAAGTCCCAGAAAACGGCACAGGTTTTGTGAGTTTGGCTAAAAATGGCATAATCATAATTTAAAGACCACTGGTAATGTTTACAAATAGCTCAAAATATGATCGGAGTGGGACTTTAAGATGTTTTTTCGGTGGAAATAGAGCGTCGCTGCTTAGTCCCTCTGCCATAGTGGTTGACGAGCACGGCACTTTAAGCTGGTGCACCGCTGGTGTAACTTTGTTTTCGTTTTGTGTTACGTGCAAAAGTTCCGTACTTTGCAGAACACTCGGTGTAGCATAGTCTTTACGATTAATTAACCGTGACGTTTTAAAGCGCGGTTAATTGTGAAATCCGGTAATCGCTGCATCCCTAGTCTCAAATTCGAGCCCCAATCTCTCTTATATATTTTACTGTACAGGATTATAGAGGCAATCTCAGTGCGCAGAGAAGGGCTCATTCAGCCCATCAGGCAGTTCTTTAAGCATGTATAGGATAGAAAAACAGGTATTTTTAACATGAAAAGTTGCGCAATGCACCTGCTAAAGGGGTCTGAAAAGTGGCTAAATTGCTCACGTGTTGTTGCCATGGTGGATCGTAATTTCGGAGCTCCATTGATCATGGCTTTTCATAGTAGTGGTGCACGTGCTAAACTCAGAGTCAACCTACTCAAGAGTTGATCGAACTAACTCAATTCAGCTGTTCTGAAACCGAAAACTCAAGAGTTTCCCATCTCAGGGTAAATCAACTCAGGCTATGTTTACACGGAAACGATCTGAAGAGAAAACGCAAAACTGGCGTTGCGTTATCACTTTTTATTCTGCGTTTAGACGAGCGTTATGGTTGGGAAATCCGCGTGCATATGGTAACGCAAAAGTGTGTGAAATTTGATGTAGTATGCACTCCAGGCGGCTAGGTGGCAATGTGAAGCACTGCCACACAACAACACCAATATCTTAGAATATTTTTTACAACTGCTGAAAAGACTCTTGTACGGTTTTTTAGAGCTGCTAGGGCAACTTGAAGGTCCAACGTATGGAAATAATCTGACAACGCAAAAGTGTGTGAAATTTGATGTAGTATGCACTCCAGGCGGCTAGGTGGCAATGTGAAGCACTGCCACACAACAACACCAATATCTTAGAATATTTTTTACAACTGCTGAAAAGACTCTTGTACGGTTTTTTAGAGCTGCTAGGGCAACTTGAAGGTCCAACGTATGGAAATAATCTGACATGTTGATTGTTATTTTCCTGTACTGGCGCATGAATTCCACTGGAGGTGAATTCTACATCCTGAGAAAAGTGGATTTTTGGGGGTGAAACCCCATAGACTCCCATTCATTCTGCACTCGCCTGCGAGCGCCCCCGCATGGACAGAGACGTGTTACTGCAGCCAGTTCAGAACCCGGAAGTAACCAGAGAGTGCCAGTTCTCTTCTCTCATAGACATTCTCTGTCAATGTTTATATGTGAATAAAAGCCTAAATTAAATCTGTTCATCATATAAAGAGATGGTCTCTTTAGAACATTTGGGCTAAACCGCTCAATTCATGAATTAGTTTTACAATCGCTTTTAATTAACTTTTTGAAGCGTCAAAGTTTCATATTTCATCAAAAAGAACTTCATTTTTGTTGCGAAGATGAATGAAAGACTTACGGGTTTGAAATGAACAATATTGTTTTTGCGTGAACTTTCCCTTCAAGTCACTCTTTATGTATGAATTTCATTTTAACCGTTGAAAATGGCATTTTACTTGAAATTAACGTTTTTGTTACTGTTTGTTTTTTTATGTTTAGGCCCCGAAATGTTATATATTTTTGATTAGCTGCTTTCCATTCAAGTTTTTAATACATGCCTTTGAAATAGAGATACACAACGGGCATATATTAAGTTATCTCTGTTGTATCACAAAGTAGGTTCGCACACAGAAGATCAATGAGATGGTCATAACAAAAGAAAACACATTGCATTCGTTTAAACCTGGGCTTATCTGTTTTCCTCGTAAACTTGCATTTATAATCATTTGTCAAGAAGTGAAATGCTATGAAGTGTTACTGAAACACGTTTGTCTCACCTCTGAGACTGTATCTCGCCTGTGTCCCGAAAACAGAAATCACACCGGTCCCTGTTCTGTCGCCTTTGCCCGTTCCCTGCTGCAGAATGTACTCGACCAGGTTCAAGTAACCGCGTTCGTCACAAAACAGAGAAAAGTCTTTTTTTCCTTCTCCTGCACCTTCTCTCTTGTTTTCCACGTCAGCACAATGTCCACTTGTCATCTGCACTAAGGCGTTCGGCATTTTCTTCAGTTTAAGATTAAACTCAAAGGTAAAATGAACATGAACTAACAGCCAAGCGCGCTTGATTATTTGATTATTCCCGCGAAATATTCTTCTTCTTCTTCTTTTTGGCGGGACCTGACATGCGCGTACCGTGCATACTGCCACCTGCGATACTGGAGTATGTAAAATCCATCAACGCTTCATTGATCTCTGCTTATTTTCTCCTAATAAGTACCTTTACTGTCTATGATAAGAACAGTTTCGAGTAAAAATGTAAGTATGCCATAACAACTCACATTTATGAGTTTTGATAAAACATTCTTTAAGTTCTTTATGTAGCCTAGAACTATCAAATAAACAATATTTTTACTATACATTTATGAAGCTTATGTTAATTTTACACATGTTCATGTTAACTCAGTGCATTAACTAATATAATAAATACAACTTTTGATCTTAAAAGATGTGAGATTAGATTATCATTAACTAAGATTAGATTAATAAGTGGTGTAGTAGAAGTATTTTTCATTGTTAGTTTTTAACTAATGTAGATTTACCTTCATTTTTCAGCTATTTCATTTCTTTGAATTCCTCTGAGCTGGGATCAATTGATCATCCATAGTTTTTCTAAATTTGTAAGTGAAGTGTATACTTCTATTACATTTTACTTGTCATTTCCCTAAATTTGATTTGGCTGCAGCTCCAGCTGTCATTCGTCCATATAATCATAGATCTCATCAGTTCAAAACCAGACACATCTTGTTCGATTTTGCACATTTTACATTTTGTTTTTCAATAGGCCTATGTAATATATGCGTTGTCCACTTTTTATCATTTTAGGTCATGGTTATGCCGCGTTCCTGGCAACCTGTAACCCGTGTTTTTTCAACTCGTAACTGGGAGTACATCGATCTAGTACGAATTCACGGGTGGGAAGTCACGGGTTTGACTGCCGTTCCAGTGCACTTTCACGGGTATAAGGTTGGAAAAACACGGGTTACAGGTTGCCTGGAACGCGGCATTAGTTATGTGCCCCATACAACATTTAATTTAAACTGTTACGTCCCTTTAGATTGGTTTTATATTTGGCTATAGGGATAAATAAAGAGGTGTGTGTAACTCAATTTGAAGGACAAGGCAAATAAATGGAAAAATGTCAATTCAAAAACTCCGCTCAAAGTAGGCTATTTATTTTTACAGTGCCAAAAATGTAAGAATGAAGAGAAAATAATATTTACAATATTTACACGGAAAAACAACACACACAAAAAACAATATCAAACAAAACAAACAAAGGTGGGAAGGCAATTCCAGAGATGCCAAATAAAATAAATACATTTATTCTAGGATTTATTCAGCTAAACTAACTACCAAACGAAAAATGTATAAAGAAAAGTCTTTGGCGTCAAGACCCCCAAACTAAACTATACTAACTTACCACATAACAAAAATTACAGGGTGTGGCACTCTCCTAAACCTAGTGTGTCTCAAAACGTGTGTGTGTGCAATGTGCAGTCGGCCTATATGTCGCACAATTTACTAATCCCTCCTTCCCAGCCTCAAACACACCGTGATGACTGAACAAGGATGAACAACAGAATGAAAAACAAACACACTTCACAACCACTATACGACAATTGATTAAATCACACAATAAACACACAGAATCAGCGGCAGCGAGCCGGACAAAGACAAATGCCAAAGTGAGCAAAAAGCTGGGGAGGTTAGGTATAGCAGAGATCCGGGTATTTGTGGAAGGCGGCGCAATGTGATAGGTTTGGTGAACCGGGACGTCATAATCCTTCAGGAAGACTGACAGGCTGTAGAAGTGTAGATCGATCCAATGAACATCTGAAATGACATTCAGAAACACACACACACACACACACACACACACACACACACACACACACACACACACACACACACACACACACACACACACACACACACACACACACACACACACACACACACACACAACAACAACAACAACAACAACAACAAACTACCCACACATACCAACACTCTTACACGTATAACAAAACCGATAGTTCACTCAAAAATGTAACCCTCATCCTTCCCTTGCACTTTGTAACATGTTTCCCTGGCGGGTCAAAATGACCCGAAGCCCTAAAATTACTTTTTTGTTTTTGTTTTGAAAGCTTATTTTATTTCATTTTGATAATATTTTTTACATTTTTTAATGCAACTTTTTTGGGAGATTTATTTGTTATTTTCTATTTTATTTACCTTTAAATTACTAGATTTGATCAATAAATAATAAATAAATAGTAGGCTAATTTAAGCACATTCCTCACATTGTTTTAACTTAAAACAATAAAACTCATAATTTCTTGCCTAACCCTTTTAATTCAGCTCAAAATATATTACATTTGCGCCCTCAGGCCATCCGAGATGTAGGTGTCTTTTTTTCTTCAGTAAAGATTTTTAGCTGAAACCGTAGTCCTGATGATTCATACAGTATTATGCAAGTTAATGGCTACTGTCACTTTGAGAGTCAAAAAAAACAAACATATACAGGCAAAACTAAATGAAATAAATGTGGAAATGGAAATAAATAAATGTATAGCCTAAATAAATGGGGAAAAAATGTGAAAAAATACAATTATTCATAAATAAGGAGATAAAAGTATAAATACACATTTCATATTTATTTGTGTGTTTATTTCTTATTTCGGCAGCTTTGGCCTTTCATAATAGACCACACAGTTACTTGAGCAGCTGATGAAATTTGACTGAGAAATATTGTAAGTATTAACTAGAGTAGAGTAGTAGGCCTACTACTTGATAAAAAAGCGCTGAGTGCATAGCAGACCTCTCTGCGCATGCGCGAATCACATGTTGGTCTGTTGTTATTGCCAGCCAGTGCTGTACAAGTCAGTGAAGGACAGAAAGCGGCACGCGCACACACGGGCGAGCTGGATTAGACTCGAGCTGGATCTGGCAGGATGACATGCTCAGATAAGAAGACTACACATGACGAGTCACTGATTAAAACAAACTGTCGCCGCATGCGTATGTTACAGCTGTCGACGCCGCTTTGTGTAAAGACATTCAGCCAGTGTCACGGTCGCATCTAGTGCACGCGCAGAGATGGACGCGCATCTGTGGGATCAGCTCCAGGCTGGCAGCTCGGAGGTGGATTGGTGTGAAGGGAATTATCTAATTTATCCTGGAATAGCGGAATTTTATAACACGGTACGTCAGTCAGCACTCTCTTTGTTTTGTTTCATGTGCCATATTGTCGCATTAACATATGAGCGGCTGGCAGAGTGGCAGTTCGAAGTCTATCAACTTTAGGACTGCTTTGCCTGTGCTTTGCTTACATCAAATACGATGTTCAAACATGTCTCTATCTCTTTTCAGATAAGCAACGTGCTGTTTTTCGTCTTGCCTCCAATCCTCATGTGTCTGTTTCGTCAGTACGCCACACATTTCAACAGTGGCATCTATCTCATATGGACTCTACTGGTGGTTGTTGGTAAATTTCATCCTTCATTATTTCCAGTGACCGTGACCTAAATTTAACTTACACAAGTATGCCGGAGCTCAGGTTTTTCAGCACATAGGAGGTGGCAGTTAGTGAACTCGTTCTTCCTCCTTTTCTGGAATATCGCTAGTCTTCAGGAAATAGCTGAGCAGTTCAGGAAGGGCTACTGAGGAAATACGTTATCTCAGTAAAATATTCAGTATTACAGCAGTTATATATCCGTGGCATGCAGTGGTGTTATGAAATGTCCTCACAGTTTAAAAAAAAAAGTGTTGTTTTTTTTAGAAATCACATGTAAATTGATGTCTCAGTTCAGTGCTGGTTCTAAACTTCTGCCAAACTTTGTGACCTCCAACCCCTCAATCTGTTATTTCAGAGCAGTTTCACTGTCAACAAACAACAGTGAGTTGAAACGTTCAGTAATACAATAAAAAAGAAGAAAATTACAAACAATAGACAACTACAATAGAAAAAAAATATACAAATGTAAAAAACAATATACCCTACAAAAATAATAAGCTACTATACAGATATTACATAATCACATTAAAAAATTAAACACTGCATAGTCTTCAGTGATTGAATTCAGTAACCATTTAAACACTATATTTTATTTGTGAACTTATGTTCAGCTGTTCAATAGTCAACTTATTTTCAAGTCATCAAGCTCAGTAAACACTGGTCACAGTGGTTAAAAAGTATTTATTTTAATTTTTTTTTTTAGAAAATGACCGATCGTTTCGCTAGATAAGCCCCTTATTCCTCGGCTGTGATCGTGTAGAGGCCTTTGATGCTGCATTGAAACTGCAATTTGGACCTTCTTCAACCCGTTGATAACCGTTGATAACCGTTGAAGTCCACAATATGGAGAAAAATCCTGGAAAGTTTTTCTCAAAAACCTTAATTTCTTTTCGACTAAAGAAAGAAAGACATGAATATCTTGGATGACGTGGGGCATGTGGGTGAGTAAATTATCAGGAAGTTTTAATTCCGAAGTGAACTAATCCTTTAATTTCACCAAGCTGATTGCTCACTAAAACCCCCCACAATCATCATGTTTTCAAGTCTGATTTTGACGTGTCATAAAGCTGTGATATCCATGTGGGAGAGCTGTTTACTGTTCACGAAAACAAAAGGTGGGATTTACTGCATGAACCTACAAGGCTTAAGCCTTGTCTGTGAAACCTGGGGTTCACTACCCAGGGTTAAAAATGACCTTAGGTTACAAAGGACATTAATCCTGGGTTAAGGACAGCATGAGTCGATCCCTTGTCATTGGAGCTTTTTGTTCAGTTTACAGAAGGCCTCACAGACCAAATTTCACTTGGTCGTCTGCAAGATGTGTTAATATTCACATGACCCGAGCGCTTCACAAGTCTGCATTTGTGAAGCGTAACATATTTTAAACAGTGAAGCTCTATGTCCCTGTCAGTTTTAGGTTTACAAAAGCTTCCCTTCTCACACTGGTGTCACCCTCGCTGCTTACAGACAACCAGAGCTCCAGTTTTATCAAGCTTCTTCCTTTTTACTTACTATTTGTGGCTACTTTATATTCTGTCATGTAGCCACAAAGGTTAAGACAATCACTTGGGAAATTGGTCCGGGATTTGTGCAGGAGTGTGACTTGTTCCCAACAAACCGCTGGTGTATTTAAAGCTCGCTGGCAGTTCTGTTTGTGGAGCAGCATGGGAAGGAAGCCAGCTCAGCACAAACACTGCTCTGTACAAATGTCTTCAGAGTTTTTCCGCTCTAAAAGAAGCTGCTGACTTAATTAATCCGGGTGGAATTTTGAGTCAAAGTCCTCCTTGCCGTCATATAATACAGTTAGTTTAGTCAAAGGATTAGACACAGACATAGCTGAATTCATTCAGGACAGACCTTTAGGTGATTCAGCGCTGTTCGTGTAGATGGAGGAATGTTTTAAGAACACTTTGAAGATTTTTAACTGGGATTTAATTGGCAAATTATTGTGTGTAAACTTTTGGATAAATAGTGGCTGAAATACAAACATCTTCTAGGAATATAATTAAAATCAAGTCACATTGATTTGTAGAGCGCTATACTATACAGATACTTCACATTAATAAGCTGGAAAAAAGAAGTACACTTATTTTGATGTGTTGACTTAACATACTAAAGCACATGGAGAGAGTATTTATAAATGTACTAATACAGTATTTACAACTGTATTGTGTTATTTGAGATTACATTTAAAGTTAATCTTCATCATTACAAATACAAATACACGACACACGTTTCAATAGTATTGATATTAAAGTATATTGCTGTAAATGCTTGTCAAGATATTCAGCAAAAAACTTTAACCATATTTCAAAGACAATAGAAGTAATTCTGAAAATAATATAAAGATGTACATAGTAATACAATTTTGTAACATGGTTATAAAAAGCATTCTAAAGTTCAGCTAATTGCATTTAATATAAATGTAAGCTATAGTAACATGCAATTAACTGTCCGAAAACATTATTATATTATATTATATTTTATATTTAAAATAAACGTATCAGTACTCTTATTAATAATATGCTAAAGTGTAGTTCTTTTCAAGAGAAGTCAATGGAACGGAGCACTTTAATCCAAAATTTTTACATTCTTTAAAATTAAATTCAAAACATTTTTGTTCGTTTTTAATGTACAATCATACGGCTGTTCTTTAGGTATTGGCTCCACTTATTTCCATGCTACGCTGAGCTTCCTGGGACAGATGCTGGATGAACTGGCCATACTTTGGGTGCTCATGTGTGCCATCGGCATGTGGTTTCCCAAGAGATATCTTCCCAGGATATTCCGTAAAGACAGGTGTGCTCTCATATCCACAAGCACACACATTTTGATCGATAGTGATTCTGCACAACGTTCTGCACTGCCTTTCTCTTGTTCATGTTTTTTTTTCCTTTTGTCTTTCCCTGTTTGTCACTAGATCGAGGTTTAAGATGGTCATCGGCATTCTCTCAGGGATCACCACCTGTCTGGCCTTCATCAAGCCAGCGATAAACTCCATCTCTCTCATGACGCTGGGAATCCCGTGCACTGCTCTTCTCATCACTGAGCTAAAGAGGTCAGTGCGCTTGTTGAAACTCAGGATCAGTCCTCTAGTGCTTTCCATATTATCGCATTACATATTTATTGCTGTGCATGTTCATTTCAAATCACAGTGACAGCTCCCTTTAAATAGCCTTTATATGTCTTTATTTATATTCCAAAGTCCCTATACGTAAAGCATATTTTAAAGGCAGTCTTGTATTTGTAATATGAATTGGATTTAATGTATAGGAAAGCACATGGTTTCCAGCTTCAAATCAGTATTGCTCATTACTAAAGTTAGAGGTTTGTTCAAATCCATAACCCTATGGGTCGCTTAACTTGTCTCTCATGTTTTGTGTGCTGCTCCTTGTGAAAAGTACACTTTAGCTTACTTTTAAAAGGAGTAAGTACTTATTATGAAAATAATGTATTTTAAAATAAAATACTTGTAATGTAATGTTTTCGGACACCTAATTGAATGCTAGTTGGTATTAAATGAAAATTTATTATAGTTTACATTTACATTTATATTATATATTTATTAGGGCTGTAACGATACACCAAACCCACGATTCGATTCGTATCACGATTTTTGACCCACGATTCGATTCGTATCGTGATTCTATCACGGGGGCGGGGGCTTGAGGGGGCGGGGCTTGTGGTGAAAAAAAGAGATTTTGAGAGAAAAAAAAAATACCGGTATTTTTATTAAATAACATTAGGAAAAACCTGTATAATCTAAACACCAAAGAACAATAATAACTATGCAAATTATTAAACTATACTAGGCAGTGTAGGCTGCTGCTTTTGGGTTGTGTTCTGTACTCCAACTAAATTGATTTCGGGATGGTGCCGTAGGATATGCATCTGCATGTTGGACGTGTTGCCGGTCAATTGAGGATTAATTTAATGCACTTTCTGAGAACTTATATTTCAAGTTTTGGCTGCAAATTTCACGTCTATAATGCTGAAATTGCCAAATTTTAAATAATTTATCCTCAACTAGTTTTGTGGTGTAGGTCTACGTATTTTATAATGTTAACTTCAAATAATACTAATAGTAATTTAAAGATGTGGTAGTTCTCAGGGCCTGAATTTCGTTTTGGAAAATGGGGGGGAAATCCCCCCTTAGATGATTCTCATGGGGGGGATTTTTTTTGTTTGAGGGGGAGAAAGGGGGGGCATTTTTTCCAAACAAAATTATTACATTTATCTTGCCTAAATGTTTGCGCTCATTGCATTTTTGCAATGAGGTAATATTGTTGTTAAGAATTTACACATCACAAGGAAGCTTGATTTAAATTGTTTAATTAAATTGAAAAAGGTAGCACAAATAAATACAATAGAATAAAGATACAAATAAAGACAATTAAAGAGAAAAGTTTTTGAATAGGTCTAACACTAGTATTCATATACAGATACTGAATAAAGTAATCAAATGGAAAATAACACTGGGTAGTATTTTAGTCCTGAATAAATTAAATACATAGGCTATTAAACCTGATTCCTTTAACTTAAAGCCATCTTTTGTTGTTTTGACAACAAAATTAATGACAGACACATATGGCTTCCGTCACTTTAAGAGCTAGTGCACGGATCCTGTGTTCATTATACTGGCATGCGTTTTATGCTTATTAAAGACAAAACCGACTATATTTAGAGTATAGCCTACTCACAAAGACCGAAATTGACAATTTTGCGTGTTAAAGCAATATAATCCGCGAAAAATAGTTACTGGCCAGCTGTTTTTGAGGCGGATTTTCTATGAATGTGCGCATAGAAAATAATCTCAGAGAGGGCGCGAGCACTGATTAGTTTAAAATCGCTTGAATGTTTAAACTGGTAAGACTTAAAAAGACTTCAGTCACGATGCACTGCTGGCCCGATTGTGCAAGTGAATATTCCGTCATGTCCCGACCTTACAGTCTATGGTCCCGACTCCTAAACGCGAGTGTGTATTATCGCCGCAGCGCTTGATGCTTGCCTTACACAACACATTATGAGAAGAGATAGAAGACGCGCGGCACCGCTGAACACTCACGCTGTTTGTGAAATTGCGTCTGGAAGATAGTTGTTAAAAGAATGATTTGCGGGAATGATTAGAATTATGCGCAATACCCGCGCCGAAATTCGAGCCCTGGTTCAGGACAGGAAGGATAACTCTGGGAGTTGGAAGGGGTGTGATCGCGATTCTGCCTTCTCACATCGCGATACAGGATCGTGGACCTGAGTATCGCGATTTCGATTTTATATCGCGTATCGTTACAGCCCTAATATTTATATACATTTATATGACTCCAGTTCAGAAGTTGACCTGTTGACATAAAGTAAAAAGGAATTATCTGCATATAGGGCTAAGTCAGCGGTACATAGAACTATACTTGCCATTTGTTGTTGGTTCAGAAGGAAAGGTTGTTAGGTTGTTGCTGTTTGCCTGCCATTCTTGCTCTGTCTACACATTGTACGTGAAACGCGTTGATGACGTATGATGTCTGCGTGAACAGACTGCGCAGTGGTATGTTAACACACGTTGACTGATAGGAAACACATGCTATCATTTCATTCGGACCGAATGCAATGATTAAACAAATATTTTTATGGTCCTACGCCTTCCACAGATAATATAAATCTATAAAAATACATTTATACCGCTTAACATAGTGATTGCTATCAGGATATGAGGAGACTTTCAACCAGCTTGACAAAAATGTTTCTGTAGAGAATCACCTATTGCACCTTTAAAGTAAAACTTTTAATTTGACATTATTAAAGGGGTCATATAATGCCATTTTTGTACAAGCTAGAATGATTCTTTAGGATCTAAATTAAAAGTTTGTAATATACTTTAATTAAAAATTCTCATTAGTATTGTAAGAAAACAGTTATTTTACCTGGTCAAAAACAGCTCTGTTTTCAGCACGCCGTTTCAGTGTATATGACTTTAAATGATAATGAGCTTTGCTCACCCCGCCTCTCTGTTCTGTGCGTACACCGTTTGTAACACAATAACACAATAACCATAACGCGTTGTTCAGTATAAACGTGGGATTATGAATTATATTGAGAACATCATACATAGAAAACATGCCATAATGTACCCTGAGTGTAAACCTTAGACGCATTCATTGTGAAGCGTGCAGCTAGCGATTTGCAAAGATTAATATAACGTTAAATATTAATATAAAGTTTAATCAAACTTTACACTCACTTCAGTTGTTCTAGAGGTTCAGCAGGAACACGAATATCTGGTACCGATCCTTTTTTCATGAGCAGCTTCTTTGCAAATCCAGCTTTATACTGATCCTCCTTTATAAAGCAGTCTGGTGAGAAATGATTCGCGCAAACATGAAAGCATTGACGTTGCTCGTGGGGAATATTCCCTTCGAAAACAAACTCAGCCACTGCGTCTTCAGCGGTAGGAACATTAAAATGACTGCTGTGTTCGTTATTACACCCAAGAACAGAACACCACAATCGCTTAGACACCATTCTGCTCATAGACAGTGCTCCAGCATATCAACAATGACCGCGCCGGTCCGCGCAGACTATGATTGACAGCTGGCTCACGAGCGAGGGCGGGTCTGTGTTGAAACGATGTTGTCAATCAACAATCGCGGGAGGGGCGTCCGACCGTGTGACGTCACACGGTCGAACGGCTCAATTTGAGGCAGGGGAAAACATATAAGGAGATTAAAACAAAACCACTGGATGGATTTTTATCATTTTATAATGGTTGTGTACAGGCACTGCCAACACACATTTCAGTACGATCAACTTGTAAAAGTGCATGTACCATTATATGACCCCTTTAAGAAGTGCTCTTTTCTAAAAATGTACTTAAGTGTTTTAAGAGACAAAGTTAATAAAGTGTACTCCCGTTAAGCAAACCTTTTATTTAATTAATTATATAGTATCTGCAAGTACAGTTTTTAAAAAATATAATTTTAAGATTTCAATTACACTACAAGTGCACATTCAATAGAGTTAAGCACACTTTTTTTCACAATGGGTGAAAGAGGCCTGACTTATGATTTGCACCTGGAAGACCATAAAACAGGTAAAGAAATAAAACAAGATACCATAGATGTACATTAAACAAGGGACCCATCTTGAGGTTGGGCCACTCACATTTTCTTCAGAACATCCAAAATGTAGGTTATTAAAAGGATAGTTCATCCAAATATGAAAATTATGTCATTTATTCGCCCTCAATTTGTTCCAAACCTGTTTAAATTTCTTTGTTCTGCTAAACACAAAAGAAGATATTCTGAAGACAGCTTGTAAACAGGCTGCTTTGGGGCACCATTGACTACCATAGTAGGAAAAAAATATATTGTAAGTCAATGGTGCCCCAAAACTGTTCAGTTTCTCACATTCTTCTAAATATCTTCCTTTGTTCAACAGAACAAATACATTTATACAGGTTTGGAACAACACGAGGATGAGCAAATTATGACAGATTGTTTGGGTGAACTATCTCTTTAAGTTATGTTCAAAGGTCAATAGACAGTTTGAAACTTAAGTTTAACTAAACAGACAGTGTTGTCGTCCTAAAACACACCACCACACTGATACTTTTTGTTCTTAAAGAGAGTCGATGTGAAATTTGTTCTTTAGCCCACATGCTTGAAATCCTCTGGCCTCAGGAAACCTTCTCCAGATATGCATAGAGTTCATTTGCTTTGCTCTGTCGATGAAGAAACTGAAAATGAGATGCACTGCTGTGGTTTTCCTGATAGCGTTTCTCTCTGCGTTCAGACCGGTTAGATGTAGCTTTACCTTACAGCAAACCATGTGTGAGTTTGTAGTTTTAGTTATGTACAACAGATCACCGTGTGCTACTGTGCTTATACATTAGGAACTAACTATGAACTAATGCATGACAACTCTTAAAAGTTCAACTTTTCTCTGTTTACAAGAATTTAAACTGAATTTTGCTAAATGTTTCTTAAATATAGATGTATAATATATATATATATATTAGGGTATGTTAAATTTCTACCGTTTCTGTCTCCTAAATAGCTTGGACTTTGTGTCTCTGTTCCATTGTATCTAATGCAGTTTGTTTTGGCCCTAGTCTTCATGTGTCCTGCTTCATGGACAGTCATAAATTAAAAGGATGCAAGATTCTTGCTAAGGTCAAAATTTTGTTAAACAAACATAGAAAGTACAGTACAACAACAGGATGTTTTTTCATGCAGTACTGGTCTGACATGGAATACTTGATTATAATTTTAACTGTAGTGTGTTCTTCTTTATTTTAAGGTGACGTAGTTACACGTTACTTCATGTACTTACTATAGTAGTAACAGTAAATTATGCATAATTACAAATAACTAACCCTACCAAACCATAACTCTATAGTAAGTACATGTAATTAATTAATATTACTCAGTACTTACTTATGAGTAAGTACAATGTTACTACATCACCTTAAAATAAAGTGCAACCCTTAAAGGTACTAAATTGCAACTTCATTGTTACAAGTGTGTGATTATAAATATTTAAATACATAGCATACAAGTTTCAATAGAAACAGCTTTAAAGTATATTTGTTTTTAGATGCTTGCCAGTACATTCTGCATTAGAAGTAATTATGAAATTACATATAAAGATATGCCTAAGTCCTACTTAAATGTGTCAAAAAGCACATAAAGTTGAGCTAATTGCATTTAATATAAATTTAAACTATATTGCATTTAAATTGAATGCAGTTAAAGTGTCCAAAATCACTCTATTCAGTTCACACTTTAGTATATTATTTCCATAATAAGTGCTCTTTTTTAAAGTATGCGGAAGTGTACTTCAAGACTTTGTTTTTCAGTTTGTCTGAGTAACAGTTTGCACTTCCTGTCTCTCTCTCTCTCTCTCTCTCTCTCTCTCTCTCTCTCTCTCTCTCTCTCTCTCTCTCTCTCTCTCTCTCTCTCTCTCTCTCTCTCTCTCTCTCTCTCTCTCTCTCTCTCTCTCTCTCGCCCTCTCTCTCTCTCTCTCTCTCTCTCTCTCTCTCTCTCTCTCGCCCTTTTCTCACTATTTTTACCCCACCCCTGCTAGCGCTCTTTTTTTCTTTCTCAAGTTACACAGTGCCTTCAGCATTGTTTTCATCACTCAAAAAACATTTTTTATTTTAGAACTTTTTTCATTGGCCACTGCACTGATCTTTTACAATTAAATAATTTATCAATATATTATTAATATAATAATTTTGTAATCTGCTTGTAATTTTTTTATATTTCTGTTTAACTTTATTTTTATTGCAGTAAGTTGCCATGGAACATTACTCATGTTTTTTTTTTAGTTTAAAGGTACTCTAAGTAACTTTTTAGCCTGCATGCATTTTGTGAAAGTACATTGTTTTGGTTGTGCTTTGGCTGTGCGTGACTGTGCAGATGGTTGTGGTTCTTTCTCATAACTAAAAAAAGAGAAGAGATTATCCTACTACTCATATCCAACATTCACCTGAAGGCTAAAGAGATTTAACCAGTTTAGATGGAAAGAATCTCAAGCTGACTAGCTGAAGACGTTAATGTAGCTACACCCATTAATAAACACGGTACTTCCTTGAAAATAAATTCCAGCACAGCGCTACAACAACGCATAATTAAATGACCCTTCACAATAGATAATGCTTTACAATGAACTCTGTAATGCCGGGTTCAGACTACACAATATTTCGGTCTGTTATGATAGTCACTTAGCCTGGCTAACGTCAGACCTCGTCTCATTGAGATTGAGACTTGGGTCTGGGAACCACATGTTCATTTTCTCGTATTTAGGGCGTGGTTTACGAATGCCCAGAGTCGTTTATTGTCTATCAAATGCGCCTGTACGTAGCTCGTAGCCAATCGTTTCAATTATACCAGATGACGTATGTAGAGCGATAGAAATTCGATGAGGAAGAAGACGATGGGTCAGAGATTTATGTCTACTATATATAAACTACTTAGAACACTATCTAAGGCTGCATCGAAAGGTAACTTCGCGTCTGCTGCCATGTTGGGTCCATAGATATAAACAAACTGCTTCGGTGTGTCACATAGACGTCGTCATCGTCTTGCTGCGTCCTCCCCGTTCTGTGATTGGTCCCTTCGCTGAGACGAAAATCTGGTTCATGGTATCCAGGCTGCCTAGCAGCGTGAATAAAATTGCGCTGCGCTCAAGGCAGCATGGGGAAACCCAGGCTAATAGTCACTGTTAATTTATGCGATTTTGACTCCTAAATTCCTGTTGTGTGTTCGACAAGAAACATGTCAGACTACACGTTGCTTCCCGACCAATCATGGCTTGCCGTCTTTGACTACGTGCGTGATGTCATTGAGAAGACGGAACTAGCGACTGACTTACAGAAGCAAGAACCTAAACAAACAGGCCACCAAAGCAGTGTTGAATGCAACTTGCACTGACAAATTAAAAATGTCAATGCCATTGTTTTGTCTCAAGAGATGCACATCAGTAATGTTTTTTTTTTCTAAGGCATGTTTATAAAAGCTACTTAAGTGTCCTAATTGGACTAAGGCCTAATTCTGGCTTAATCTAAGCACTGTCTGTGAAACCAGGCCATAATCTTTCACATTAAACCACTGTTTGGCAATTGCTACTATTAAAGCACTGGGAGAGGGAACGAGACAAGCGGGAAAGCCAGAGTGCTCAGATTCCCCAGAGGTTGGAGATTTAGCTGCTCCATATCAACCTTTCTCGCTCGTTCTAACCTAAACTAACCTTCGCAACTCCTACAGCATACACACGTCAATGTGACAACGTTTCTCTATTTATAGATATGACTAGACTAGAGAGACTAGACTAAAAAATTCAACTGCAAATGTCCCCAAACTGCAAACTTTGTCCACATATATTTTTATCTAATACGATTAAGTTCTCAGTGCGTTCATTTCACATCCATGTCCTTTGTCCCTTCCTTGTTCAAAATACGTCTCTTCCTCGTATTTGAGACATATTTTTAATAGAAATTACATTGTCATATAAAAATGTTTGCACATTTTCAACGTTTTCACACTCAATTCAATGTCATTTTTTTTACAATACATATTGTTTTAAGCAGTTTTACAAAGAACAACCTTACTAACACCTTAATAATAAATATATTTGATTGAATTTCAGCTTTATTAAAAATCGCTTTCGTCAATTAAAATAGTTTTAGTTTTAATAAACAATAACAACACTTCAGCGGCTGTCTGTAATTATGGCTGTGCAAGAAACATTCATCCGTTAGCAGCCATGTTTGTGTAGCGTTACAACAAGAGATTTGGTTGGTTGTGTGTGGGCATCATTTACAGTTATTTACTGTTGGCCATTTTATCCAATGCTAAATCAGATGTACTAGATATAATCGCGAGTGCAATCACTAATAAAAGTAATAGTACACATCTTCCAAAAGCTGCACTATTTGACTGGTTGTGTGGCATTATATTAGTATCATTGAGATACTATTTTCTATTTATATAGTTTTTTTTAACTGAATTTTTATGTCTATTTATAGATATTAGATAATAGATATAGTTTGTTGTGTTTAGTTATTTTAGTACATCAAGTTAAACTAAATGAAATAAAATGTTAACTGAAATAAAATAAATAAAAATAATTTTCAAGTTAAAAAATGGTTTTAGTAATAATACTTTACAATAAGAATCTGTTAACATGAACTACTTAGTTAACTAATGGAAAATACTTCTAAAGCATGTATTAATCTTAGTTAATTTAAACATTTACTAATACATTATTGAAATCAAAAGTTGTATCTGTTAATATTATTTACCGTAATGGACCTGAGCTAACATGAATAGTTGTATTTTTATTAACTAACGTTAAGAAAGATGAATAGATACTGTAACAAATGTATGAACAGTATAGCACCTGTTAATCAAACACATCCTGCTTGTGTTTATAATGTCTGTAGGTGCGACAACCCGCGTGTGTTCAAGCTGGGTCTGCTCTCGGGTCTGTGGTGGACTCTTGCACTCGTGTGCTGGATTAGTGATCGCATTTTCTGTGAGATGTGGTCATCTGTCAACTTCCCGTATCTACACTGTGCCTGGTAAGTGCACTTGTCACATCATACAGCACCTAGTGTGCATGCTCAGTGTGCTGCACATACAAGTAAGCCACCGTGAGCATTGTCAACACATTGCAACATTGCTTTACTCTGTGTACTTTTCCTGTAGAGCAGGGTTTCCCAAACTGGTGTTCGTGAGGGGAGTTTGGAAGTAGCTACTTATTAATGAAATCACAAAAGAGAAACATTAAAAATGCACGTCATATGACCATTAAACAAGATTTAAGACCTGTGAATGTGTTGTTAAATTATTAAAGTATTAACTTCAAATTAAAATTCTAAATTTTAAATCTTTTTAGTAAAGTTTACATTTAGTATACGTCAAAGGGGTTCAGCTCAAAAAAAAGTTTGTAAATGTAAATTACCAATTTAGTTGAACATGAATGCAGTTTAGGGTTATTATATTACTAAAATTAAAACTAGAACTAAAACCATGAAAAACATTTTTGTTACTTTAAAAAAACGTATTTTATTTCAACTAGTTGCCAAGGGGACCTTATTCATTTAGTTGAACTCGATGCACTAAAACAACACATTAAAACTGAAATAAAAAATTATATAGACATATTTTTAAAAACAAAAAATAATAAGAATGTCAAAACAGAATGACAAAAACATTAACTAAAATGAAAACAGAAAATACAAAAATGAAAACATTAAAAAAATTGATAGAATTATAGTATTTTTTTTATATATTATAGATAATTAATATAAAATAAAATAGTGTCAATGATATTAAAATAACACTGATGTACTTTAATAAATGTAATACAGAATACCTTATTCAACTTTTTGTTTTCTCTCAAAGTATCTATTTTTGTACACTGTAAAAATATTTTTTTTGAAGTTGTAAATAAAAGATTGTAAGAATACTTTTTTACAAGAAAAAATGGTTCAGTCTTTCTTCTGCAAAATTTGTTTTACTTGCATTTCTTTGTAATTATTACTGAAGTTTCTGAGTGAAAACTGAGAAGAAGAAAAAAGTGGTGTAGAATTTACTTTTGAATTTAGTGTAGTTCACCCAAAAGTAAAGATTCTGAAATGTTTGTAAACTGAAAACGTTATGTCTCATATAACTGTACAGATTTTTGGGCTGATATCCATTTTTAAAAATAAACCAGTAATTATTGTTATAATATATAATTTGCAGCACATTTCTCCCCTTTATGCATCTGTTTATAGGCATATCCTGATCTGCTTGGCGTCCTACCTGGGATGTGTTTGTTTTGCGTATTTTGACGCGGCGTCTGAGGCTCCAGAGCAGGGGCCGGTTGTCAAATTCTGGCCCAGTGAGAAATGGGCTTTTATTGGGGTGCCATACGTCACTCTTCTCTGTGTGCACAGGAAGCCCTCTATTAAGTTGACTTAACCTGTGCTTCCTAAGGTGTCTGACTATACTTCAATGCACTTTGTTATAGACATTCACACAAAGGAGAATCTTGTTTTTGCATGTGGATTTGTAAGGTTTTGTTTTTGGGGGGAAGATTCAGAGTATTTAGTGTCTTAACAGCACAAATAGAGCTTTAAGTTTACTTTGGGATAAATTCTGAGTTTCATGTTATAACTATACATGGTGTTATAGTACCTGTCAAAAGTTTGGAATGATTAAGATTTTTGAAAGAAGTCTCTTCTGCTCACCAAGGGTGCATTTATGTGATAACTGAAATAAATGTTTGAATATATTTTAAAATGTAATTTATTCCTGTGATCAAAGCTGAATTTTCAGCATCATTACTCCAGTCTTCAGTGTCACATGATCCTTCATCATTCTAATATGCTGATTTGATGCTCAAGAAACATTTCTTATTATAATCAATGTTGAAACCAGTTTTTGCTACTTAAAAGTTTGGGGGTTAGTAAGATAAAAAAAAAAAAATGTATTCACCAAGGATGCGTTAACTTGATCAAAAGTGTTTATAATGTTACAAAATGTTTCTATTTCAAATAAATGCTGTTCTTTTGAATCTGAAAAATCATGAAAAAATATATCATTTCTTACACAAAAATATTAACCGGCAAAAAGTGTTTTCAAAACCGATAATAATAAGAACCATGGTTAATAATTAGGCATCAGTTATTTTAAATTGTGCTAATATTTTTCAATATTACTTTTTTTTTACTGTATTTTTAGTTAAATAACAGCAGCCTTGGTGAGCAGAAGAGACTTCTTTCAAAAACATAAAAAAAACTTGATTCTTCCAAACTTTTAGCCTGTAGTTTATATAAGATGGGGATTTTTTAAACAGATGTACACACTAGCAATTCAGGCTGAAATTAAATATGATAATAGTAATGTTTTTTGTACATTAACATTGTATTTAAACTTCACCTATAATAAGGCAGCACAGCCATAAGAGTAATATTATATAACTATGTTAACACAAAGCATGTTTTTTTCACAGTAGTTCTACTAGTTACCTTTTTTGACATAACAGTGTATACATTTAAAATCAAAAGGTGCACTAAGTGATTTTTCTTTGTTTTACTGGCTGATATGACAATGGTCTGGGACTTTATACTATAGGTGTGGATGGAAAAGGAAAAGTTTTCAGGTTCCGATGTCATTGTAGAAATTCTCTATTCACAATTTTTTTTTCAATAACATTCATTTATTAACAGTTCATTTATTTCTATTCTGGAGGAGTTTTTTTTTTTTTTTTACTGTGTATTATTCAGCTGGTCATGTGATCCTGCAACCTGCCTTATTAACTGCTTTTCTAGGCCACTGACAAGACTGGAGTCTTTATCTCATGGTACATCATTTTAAACATATTTGCCAAAAGAGCTAATATTACATTTAGGTTTAAAACTTTAAGTGGAAAAAAATTACTTGGTGCACCTTTATTATGAATAGCTGTAGGACACACAATCATCTTCACCAACAGTCAGAGTTAATACAGGAAAAGGCCTGATACCTCTATGCTGAGTTTATGATGTTAATGTTTAACGCAGCACAAACTGGATGTTTTTATCTAGATATTTTAAGCTATTAAACTACTGTGAAAATGAATGGAGTGTATTGGACAGAAGACTTTAAAACTGCATGAAAATAGTTTGGTGAACTAAATGTAAAGGAATGTTCTCTTGAGAATGAAAGTTTGTCCTTTACTGAATGTCTTCAGATAGAAATGTATATATTTATATAAAGCCTATTGTTAGTATTGCCTTCTCATAGACAAACGTTATTTTGACCTTTTATTTCCTCACTAAGTCTAACCTTACGTTACTGTACAAATGCCTTTGCAGTTTGTATCTTTATCTGTGAAAGAACAAATTGCCATTGATCGATGGATCATGAATTTGTACTGTGGTGCAGGTATGATGTCACTTTGTAGGCCAACCGACAGTTCGCATCACACTGGTTCCCTCGACAAAAACCCAATAGGATTTTTCCATAGGCTTTTGGATTATAAGCTTTGTGATCAACAAAAGTTTATCATACTAGGTTTTGTCCTTCATGATAATTATCACAGATGAACAAAACTTTTATGAATTTTGAAGGCTAAATGCAGTCGCCAGAAGTTAAAAGCTCAAGGAGGCTATAAACGAACTACAACACGGTCGCTCGACTTCAACGTCACCATCACTAAGCTTCTGACAACTCTTTCAGTTTTTATCTAAAAACATTTTACCAGAACGTTTGAGCTAGTCTAGTTTATATAAGAGCACAATTATAAGCATAACAATGCTGTAAATGCGGACTGAGTTTACCTGTTCACCGTGATGATGTTTAATCTCCCCGACAGCCTCTGTAGTCGCATTTAGCCACTTGTTAGCAAACGCCTTTTTCAAGACACATAACAGCTTAAAAGAATCACGAGTAGGGTAGTACAGATTTATTTGATGTCATAGAATAAAAAGGGAAAGTGTCTGTAGCTTGTGTTCACCACAGACCTTATTTCAGCCATTTAACCAAAAAACGATGGAACCGGAAGTGCTAAAATGCTAACTCGCTTCCATGTTTTGGCCTACAAAGTGATGTCATACCTGCACCACTCTATATAATCTAATTAAATAAGGAGTTTCCAATCCTGCTCCTGGAGGGCCACTGTCCTGCAGAGTTTAGCTCCAACACCAATTAAACACCTGAACCAGCTGATCAAGATCTTACTAGGCATACTAGAAACAGAGATGGTCTTATTATTGGAAGATACGAGGGTCCGTGGCTCTACCATTGGAGAAAGCGTAACGGCTAACTTGGATCACGTGTGCCTTGATAACCAATCCTATTACAGGCTTGATGTCATTGAATTTCAGGCAACAGTCAATCACTGTTTGCAGATACCATAGAAATGAATGAGAAATGCCGTGAACTTAATCACACCTGTCGCGCAATTGCCGTGACTTCTCTTATAAAACAGCATTTTTTTCACTGTAAACTCTAAAAATAGATCAATCCAAAACAATGTTTAACAGCAAATATGTTGAAGATTAGCCGATGGGCTGTCGACTATTTCCTCACAAAAGCATTTTATTCAGCGTAGTAATGCCTCTCCTCCATTGCCATCCATTAAAACATCCATTCCCTGCCTACCGCAGCATTAGCAGCCGTTTGCGCTTTTTTCAGTTAAGGTTGCAGGCTTGCCTTCAAGTGAATTGCTAGAAACATCCAGGAATGTGTGTTGAGGTGCTAAACTCTGCAGGACAGTGGCCCTCCAGGAGCGGATTGGACCCCTGATCTAAATGATTTATTGAAGAATGAAACGCCAAAAACACAGTATGCAATAAAAACACAAATTCAGTTGTGGTTTATAAACAAATGACACGTTCTATGACTTCTTGCTGCTTTCTTCCAATGCCACAAAATTGCATCAATATTAAGAGAAACTGAACATTACCTCAGTTTCTTGATGTTTTTGCCACTTATCCAGGGTTTTCTCAAGGAACAGCAGAGAGATTTTGTATTTTTGGGTAACTTTCTGCTCAAGCAATGCACAATATGTACTGTAAGCTATTCAATGGCTATAACTTGTGGGAATGCGTGTGTGTGTATCACCCGGACCCAGATGCAACCAAAGGGACCAAGTATACAAATACTATTTATTTTTGTGATAACCAATTAATAATTTTGTAACTACCACTGATTCATGATTTTGTAACCAAATGAGTTTGATTGTATTTTTACACTGATTTAATAAAAACAGTTGCAAATTAACACTTTTGAGCAGTGCATGTCTTTCTTAATATGTTCATGCTAAAAAAAGCAACCTAACCTTATGCACTTTCCCTTCTAAAAACACTTTCTAACATGGACATGAACTGACCCCTTGAATAATGTACCAGCTTATTTTTGAGTAGAAGTATAAAAAATGTTTTACAATATTTAGCTACTCCCTAAAAAAGTTACTTTTTATGGAAAGTAATGCATTGCATTACTTTTTCTCACCTGGGCTGGGCTTGTTTTGTTTTATAATAACAAAAAAAGTTCTGTTTATGGCAAATGTAAAGGCCCTTTCACACCAAGGCTGCTGTTCAACACTCAAATATATGTTTCCTCGCTCCTCCGTCCTCCAGCCCGTGATTCGGCCATCTTGAAGGACATATCAGTTCTTTTGCACCACGAGGAATGAGGTGCGAGGAAGCTTCCTGAGGAGTCATGAACGAGGAATCTCATAAGTGAGTACACCCCTCACATTTCAGCAAACATTTTAGTATATCTTCTCAAGGGACAATACTATAGAAATGAAACTTGGATATATTTTAGAGTAGTCAATGTGCTGCTTGTATAGCAGTATATATACTGTTCTCTTTCAATAACTCAACATACAACCATTATTGTCAAAATAGCTGGCAACAAGATTATGTCGTTTAACCATGCAAAGCCACATGTCCTATTCATCATTTTCATGTTTTAGTCTGCTTGACAGGACCATACAAATTTGTGTAACTTGGAGCAGTTAAAATTTGTGCTTTGAGTACAATTCTCTCATACTGACCACTGGATGTTCAACATGGCACCTCATGGCAAAGAACTCTCTTATGATTTGAGAATTAGAATTGTTGCTCTCCACAAAGTTGACCTAGGCTATAAGAAGATTGGTAACACCCTGAAACTGAGTTACAGTGCAGGCCAGGGTCATACAGAGGTTTTCCAAGACGGGTTCCACTCGGAACAGGTCTCGCGAGGGTCAATCAAAGAAGTTGAGTCCTTGTGCTGTGCATCAGGTGCAGAAGCTGCTTCAAAAACCAGATGCATGAGTGCTACCAGCATTCCTTTAGAGGTTGCAGAAGCGGAAGGTCAGCTTGTCAGTGCTCAGACCATACGCCGCGCACTGCAGCAAGTCGGTTTGCATGGCCGTCGTCCCAGAAGGAAGCCTCTTCTGAAGCTGGCTCACAAGAAAGCCCGCAAACAGTTTGCTGAAAGCAACCTGTCCAAGATCATGAATTACTGGAACCATGTCCTGTGGCCTGATGAGACTCAGATAAACTTGTTTGGCTCAGATGGTGTCCAGCATGTGTGGCGCACTGGGAAGGAGTACCAAGACAATTGTGTCTTGCCTACAGTCAAGCATGGTGGTGGTAGCATCATGGTCTGGGGCTGCATGAG